TAAATTTTCTGGAAATAACAACCTCGACTTCATGACGTCGTTTTGCCTTACTCCAATCGACATTGGCATGAGCTATTTGTCCGAACAACAATTGGCTTTCGTCTTCCCAGAAAGGTTTTAGATATAAAAGTTCAATCATGATATCGTAATTACGTTCAAGTGAATTTTCTATAAAACTACGGTAATATTCGGAATTGCATAGCTCGGTAAACATATTATTGTAGATATTCATGTTTTTCGAAACAAAATCGGATTCCATGGCAGTCGGAGGAAGGTATTTTTCAGCAATACAATTTCGGATTAATTCTGAAACACCGGTTTGCAGTTGGTCGTCATCGAATGGGTTTTCACGGATAAAATTTTTATTTTTATTGTAATGTCTGGTGGCAATGATTTTCAAAAAATAACTCCAAAGCCATATGTCCGTTTCTAAATTTTCAGCCAACAAAAGTCTTATTATGAGTTCAGCTTCCAGTTTAAGATGTATCATAGTATTCTCTGTAGTTTGATAGTTTTTAAGACATCGTAAATTCTCGTTATAAATTATACGTTCACCATTTTTTAACAATTCATCTAAGTTCTTCAAACACAATATGTTTGATTTTACAATTACAAAAAAACTACATTTGATTTCCTTACCTTTTTTCTCTAATTTATCCCGGCTATTTAGTTTTAATCGGTATTCTTTAATAGTGTTGTAACCAGTTGACAGAATTGTCTGGTCTGCGGAATTGAGAACAATTGGACGGTCTTTAAATGTTTTCACACTATTTACTATGCGCGAATAGTTTTCATCAGTTTTTTTAACGAAAAATCGTATAGGATTAACCTAAAAAAACATCTTATTGTAAAAAAGTAACTATTAAAATAAAGGTGAATTTTTCATCTAATAACTGATAATAATTGTTATTAAACTATTTAAAAACAAAAATATAACTTAGTCAGCCTCGAAACAATCTATGATTTAGTCAATGACTATTTTGCTTGAATGGAGAGTAAACTTAATTTCAGTATGATGTAGGTATTAAATATAGTTTATTTTGGTTATATTGTTGGAAAATATATTATTATGACTTCAAATTTATAGAACATTTTAATTTGTACAAATATCCTTGGTTGTATGCATGGTTGAATTATGTGTATTTCAACAAAGCATAGTATGTTTATATATTTTGTAGAAGCTTTCCATTATTTTAACACATTTATCGTAAGTAATAATTTTTATATTATTCAGCTGCTATAAACTGAAAAATATTAGTACGAAAGTATTTCACAAAAAAATGTTATTTTAAAATAAATGCTTACCTGGCTGTTACCTGCTGATTCGATTGTTTTTATTTTTATTGCTATTACAAAGAAACATGACAAAAATGCACAAATGTTTGCAATCATTGTTACTTTTTATATTTTCAATTTTATCTACTATAATAAATTACTAGTCTTTCGTATGATATGGTGTAGTTTATACTATGATCGCCATACGATGTACGATAGCTCAAGTGTGTACTGTGTTAAGTTATGAAAAAGCATAAGTTATTTTTTTGACGGTTTTATTCGACAATACTTGTTTATACAAATTATATTTTTGGGTTTGTCAACGTACGTATATTGATTATTAAGTCTTGGAAAACATTTCAATATTTTACTGCATTTTAATAGCTTTTTTAAGTGATATTTTTGTTTTATACGCGCAAAAAAAATGTTGTATTATTTATTAATTTCGATGTATATCTAAAAATAAATATATTCGATTCTTCTCGTATCCGGTCGACCAGACATTGTCTGACATTAATAGATATTAAATTGATGGATATTTTATTTTATTTTCGTGCACAAAAAATGGTACATTGGTAAAGCTCTAACTAAAAACAATATGTTTTACCTATATACTATAAATTCAGTACCCGATAATCGCCGCTCATTTAATAAAGAAATATAAAGCATACAATTATTATCGTTCAATGTAATAATTTTGATTAAATAATTGTAAAATTGGTTTATATAAATAATTGCGTAATCAAAAGGAGGATTTTTGTAATTTTAAATAGGTTAAAATTTGTTTTTTTTTAATTTTTGTAACTTTATTGCAATAATTACATTTTTAGTTCATTAATACTTATTAATTACCGTTGTCCGTTTCAGGTCTTTTTGTTGATTTTTTAAAAGTAATTTTTAAAGGTTTATTTGGTCATCAACATCCGAGCCCTATTGATTATACTTTTTCTACTTATTTACATGTGATAAATCAGTTTCAATCAAACGATGGTGAAAATTTTATTCAGTATACATACATCGTTTTTTTAATCAATAAAATATTATGTGTTTATTATCGTGTTATTTGTTTTTTTTTTAGTTTCTTCGATAGTAAGTGTGCGATTTTGAAAATTAAAATTAATAAAAATGGTAACCTATGTGAATCAGAACGCGCTGGCAAAAATTGGCACTAATATTTTAATTAGTGGACTAGCCTTAAAATAGCCAAACTGTCAAATGCACCTGTTTCATAAATATATTTTGATTAAATAGATTAGATCGTTTTTATTATCATTTTATTTAACAAACGAAACGCAGGTAAAAAAATACTTTCTACAAACGTACTTGTAACACACACTTTTTTTTGTTTCTGAAAAAAAAAACTTAGTAAGTATTGCCGTCATAAATAATTTCATTTGAACAGGCCGAACAACTATTAATACAAATAAATAAAATAAAAACGAGTCTATGTTTACTGATATAATTACATACATATTCAAATAGCAATGCGAAAACGGAAAATCATTGTTATTACTCGGAATAGACAATTGGAATTTTTCTCATTTATATCATCTGTTAACAGTTGTAAATGAAATCGACTATTTTTCACGTATTTCAACAACAGTCCCTGTAGCGCAGAGGATAGCGCGTTGGACTTCTAATCCAAAGGTCGTGGGTTCGATCCCCACCAGGGATGGACGCCTGTTCGAAAACTTTTTGTGTTTTTTTCTCACTTTTTATTTTATTTTGGAATTACTGAATACTGCCAACAATGGTTTTGTAACACATTTTTCAATGTATTAAACGAAAAAATGTTTACATATTCCAAATATTTTGATTTTAGAGTATTATATAATCAAAATATATAGTCGGTAGTTCGAATCCGGTCGCGGGCAGTCTTTCTCATTGGGCAAGGCAACCTGTCTTGGAGAAGAGTCTGACCTCACACCCCCCTCCCCCCACCCTCTAAGCATGACTAAGCGAGAAGAGTTATTTTTATCTGCGCGCATTACCCTACCACACTCCACCTGCCATCTTAATTATTAACCTTTAATAACTTCAAAAGTATGTACCCAAAACTGGTTATCGACACCAGTGTATAATAATATGTTAGAAATTATGAAAAATACTTGGTAAAACTAGATAGAATCTTATTTAAATAATCGGTAAATGTATACAGGGTGATTTTTTTACCACAAGCCACTTAATATCTCATAGGGTTTAATAAGAAATTAAAAATGTTTTTTTTCAATGTTGTTTTTATACAATGTGATCTTAATTTTTCACATTTTTTTTGAAGTTATTGAAGTTTCAAGTTTAGGGCAGGAGGAAAGGAGGAGCGTATTATTATTTTTATCCGCGCGAATTTCCCAACCGCACTTCCCCTCCCATCCTAACTTTTAAACTCTTATAACTTTAAAAATAGTAGTCCGAAACTGGTTATCAACCAGTCAAAATTGTTAGTACATTATTCTAAATTTAAAAAGTTAATGAAATATATGCGTTACCATTTAAATTTCAAAAGTTGCTCAAAAGTTCGGAGGGGGTAAAAACAAAAAGAAAAATTGAGATCACGTTTTATAAAAACAACATAATAAATTGTAATTTCTTATAAAACCCTATGATATATTGAGTGACCCATGATAAAAGAGTCACCCTGTATTGTATTTTATGTTTTAGATGTGGTTTTTTTTTTATTAAATCTTTAATAATTTCTGTGGCTAATTGTTGTTGCTATTAATATTAATGCAATTTTCTTTAAATATAAATGTATGTTATTTTTTACATATTATAATACTTATACACAAATATAATATATAATTGACCATCGGTTCAATGTATAGTTATGACTTATGACCTACATAGTGTTAGCTAGAGGAACTTGTGTACACCACAGTTCGCAATAATTAGAAAACAACCAGTGTTAGTTAGTAAAAGAGTATAAACAAAAATAATATAATTACAGGCACGAATAGATAATAACTGAGTATAGATTCATCATAAAACTATTAGTGGTTACAAACAAAATAGTATGTACCTAATAGCCAATAGGTATCTGGTATAAGGTACAAGATTGTACCAGATTGAATCTGCCGAACACACAATAAAACATTTTGTACTAATTTTCATTAATGTATTTTCAAAAAAAAAAAATTGTTGTTATTTGGATGCAAATTTTATCGACAAATGGCACAAATCCGTACGCAGAGTGGAGGTATGCTGGCTGCCGCATTATGTAATATCTGCCACTCTTGTATGACGTTGCAACTTGCAGGTACATCCAAACAGGTACATACACCTACTCATTTTTTTACGGGCTAACGGTCAAAATAATTGCACCGGTGAACGCAAAAATATAGTAATAAAAAATTCATCAGGAAGGTCTTGCAGGTAATTACAACCGAATTTTTGTAATAATTTACCTCCAACACACTGCGACCGGTCACCATTGTGTGTGTGTGTGTGTATGTTTGAAGAATGAAAAAAAAAAATACATTCTATGATGGTGCCAGTCAAGGACATGGTTATTATGCCACAACACTGATGTTTAGGATGCAACTTGCGAAATTTAATTGTTATTATTATTATTGTCGTGGTACTTGGTAGCAGCAGCAGAATTATTATTATTATTATTTGAAAGGATATCATTTCATGATCATGTGCAATCGTAAAAGCCTCGGTATACATATACAGATATGATTATAGATGCTTTCAAGTTGATACCGTGTTCGTTAACCAGATAGAATGTACGATTCAGTGTTCGTTCGGCGACCGTCGAATGCGTGCCTCATTCGTGCTACAAGAGAAAAGTATCACATGTACCAGACTTGACTGTAACAGTGATTATTAACCCGTTTTCAAAAAAAAAAAACAACTAGTGATTCGAATCGAGTTTTTTTTTATTGGTAAATATACAAATTATCAAAAATAGTGTCACAACACGGTGGCGATGATTTACATTTGAACGATTTGGGAATCACCTGGACAGTTGGTTTCAATAGCAAAATAGTATGTAGAACACCAGCACTTAACGGTTATAATAATAATAATAATAATTATGTATTTGTTTTTGTTTTGGTTCCTACAAAAATTAAAAGGTTTTATAAAATAATTCGTTCTACCTATATAGTAGATATATTTAGGTTATTATTTAAATATCGATTAACCGATTACGTTGGACGTTAACATATTAAGATATTTTACATCATTTCTTTATCGCTGTCCGATAGTAAAATAATTTATCGAATATTTCGACGGCAATTTGGGTCGCAAAGTAATTATATCATAATTAGATCGTCTAATCGGATTTTCGACTAAAACGTGATACCAATACATATTTTATAAAAACTTGAAGTAAATTAAAAATAATTTTGAGCTGGCTTGACAGCAACTGGTGGTGGTAATTATAAAAATTACCTTTCTTATACTCAATTGTATGCGTCGGGATTATTGTAAATATTTTTAGAATCAGAAATAATTAAATTTAAAAAAAAATGATTTACTTAACCTCCCCAAATCGGTGAAAGTCTATTCAAATAAAAAACCTCCAAAATTTCAGATCCCTAGTTCGACACTAAGTAATTCCTCAGGATTTTTTAATTTTATTAACATGGAAAATTTTAGTTTTTTAATAATAAAATTCTAACTTGAAAACTAATCAAAATTTTATCAACTAAAAAAAAGATTCTTAAAGCTGAAATATGGCTAACGATAAAAATTGGTTTTATGAAGTTATAGCCGATTATAACTGATAATGCCATAAAGTTGTAAAACTTTATGGCTTGCTAAAAAAAATATCACGAAGTATCAAAAGAAGGTATTTCAAGTGTCATATTTTAAATTTAAGTATCTTTTTTCAAATTTAAAAAATGTCAGAAGTTCGAAATAACATTTCTATTATTCGTCTATAAAATTATAGTTGTAAATGTTTTATTTTAGTAAAAAAAAAAAATACAAATTCAAACTGTACCCATCAACACATGCAAATCCTCGAAGGACATCAAGAACATTACAATCGAGTTTATTCTGTATTCGTATGACTAACTCTATTAAACGAATATGTAGACGTTGATGGGATTAAATTGAAATAAATTAGATTACATTTTTTGTTTACTCTACCTTGTATGATCTGTTCTGTACCTTATATTGGTGTTATGTTGAATTTTTGATATTAATTTACATGCATTATGGCTACTTGGTCAGTAAGTTAGTCTGTAACATGTCAAATATCTTATAAGTCGATCATATACGACTAAGCCGCATTTGTTGTTCAAATGTACATTATCCAATTGAATACGAGCAATTATAAATAATTAATACAACAGCTAAGTAATCTAGGTACTTATTATTATTATAAGATTTTATAAGTACCTACCTAATATTTTTTTATCGCAAGTTTCTAATATGTATTTATACTTATATACCCTTGAATTGGTAGGATGAATTTATTAGGAATTTAATCTAAATAATTTTTAAATAGAACTAAACTGTCTTTATCTTTCCAACTTTAAGCCTTTGGTCTTACAATTAGTTGGGTAACAAAATAGGGAATTTTTGTCGCAGGTCAACCAAAGGGTACAAAATGACCGTTTTCTCTCATATAACCCGGTCGTTGAAGGCCAGGCGTTTGCCAATCACGCTGGAGCCCATGCTGTTCGTATACTTCTTCACCGTGGTGATGTCGAACATCGTGAGCAACAACATGCTGTTCCGGAAGGGGTGCGACCCGGACGCCACGGTGGAACCGAACCTGGTAAACGCCACTTGCCCGCTGGTGCTGGACGCCCAACAGGAAGTGGCCAGCATCCAGGCCTGGAAGCAGGTCATACAAGAGCTGGTGGCGCTGACGTTCATCATGTTCGCCGGCCCGTGGAGCGACAACAACGGCCGCCGGCGGCTTCCGCTGATGTTCGTGCCGGTCGTCGGGCAGGTGTTGTGCGACACTTGCAATTTGCTGTTCTCGGTGTTCTGGCGCGAAGTGTCGCCGATGGCCACCGGCATCGTGCAAGCGGTGACCGTGGCGTCGACCGGGTCCATCCACTGTTTCTTCATCGGCATGTACGCTTACGTGTCCGACATCACCGACGAGACCAACAGAACCATGCGACTGGGATTCGCCTCGTCCATCGTACCGCTGGCCGCCACCCTAGGTCCGCTCGTGTCGGGCTACCTGAACGTCCTTCTCGGTTTCAAGGGTGTGTACGCGCTGTGTATTGTCCTCAACTTCGTGGCGTTGTCTTTGGGCTACTTGCTGATTTACGACACTTCGGAAAAGATCAAGAAGACCGGTTCGGCGATCAAGAACACGTTTGATCTCCAAGTGGTCGCTAAGAGTTTCGGCACTGTGTTTGTCAAAAGAGAAAACCACAAGAGAACAGTGCTGCTCTTGATGATCGTCACCTCGCCGTTGACCATCACTCCCTTTATGGGTAAGCACTAAACAATCCAACTGTATAAACTGTTTGAACGATCCACAAACAACGTACACGCGTCAATTCTTAATCCACACGAATACTCTAGAAGGTCCGAGAGAAATAAGCGTAATTTTCTAGAAAATTGACTTAAGCGCGCAATCTGCGTTTCACAATAATGCACTTTTAAGGCGAGACTTTAGAATGCAACCTGGTTGCTCGTTGATTGAGATAACCAATTAAAACGCTTTCCTACAAGATGATTATTAAGAACCATAGATTGTGCACTTCAGTAAATTTATTTGAAAATTACACTTATACCTTTCCTTTATCTATGCTCATCTAGTCTACAATTATTATACAACATACGGTATTAAAGTGTAAAAAACTTTATGTATCTTTTACACGAGACAAATTGTTTTTACATATATGCACTTTGAACACATTGGTGTTTGGGCAGAAGAGGATGAGTCCAAATTACGATTTGGAGAACATAAGAGTTAAATTGTTCAAGAAACTAAACTGGTAAATAAAACCACACTTGCCAGAACAGTGTACAAAAGGATAATTGACTCCTTTTGTTCAAACACCACAGAATCAGCCTAAATAATAAATTGTAATTTTTACAAAACTAAAAGTAAACATAGGTACTATTTACTGTTTTGTTTCAGGTGAAATGGCATTGATGTATTTGTTTTTAACAAAAAAATTTAATTTCAATGAAATTTCGTTCAGTTTGTTCCATTCGTATACAATGGGTATTATGTTATTCGGTAAGTTTTTTGTTTTTCTTATTTTACGTAATTTGAAACTAATGACCACTTGGTTGTTGTATATTTGTTTTGTGTCGAGGCTGAGAGTATTGTAAGTTTAGCTCTAATTGCTTTATGTTTCAAACGAAATACAGTATATCTGATGCGTATTTGTACATTCCTTATAATAATATTCTTATTTTCCACACTAAAAGTCAAACACTGTAAAATGGTGAAATATATTAATATAATTATTTGTTCTAGGTACACTACTTTCTTTAGGCCTGTTTAGTCGAATACTCAAAATGAATGATGCTTCTATTGGATTTATTGCTACAATATTTGATATTGCAACTGCCGTGGGATTCCTCGTGGTTAATGAAACTTGGCAATTAATGTACGGTAAGCGTTTAAAATAATATTAAAAATTCGTTATGTTTTCTTACGAAAATTGCAACAAACGTAGGTATTGTTTTAACAATTATCTTTTTTCGTTTTGCATTGTTATTTTTGAGTACTGGTGTTGTTGCTGCAATCACAGATCAAATAAACCAGACACTTCATAGTAAAACAATAGATTTTCGATTAACGATTTTTGATTCGACAAGATATTTCTAGATAATGTTGTATAGTGTCTAGACGGCGTTGGATTAATTATAAATGATAACTATATTATAAAACTTATATGTATTTTTTTTTTTTTTTTAGTACCGTTGTTAGAAATCTTTAGAGGCGCAGTATTATCCATTACCGGGTCAATAGCTTCGAAATGTGTGGAAGCACATGAACTGGGTATGTGCAAAAATAAACTAATAAATGTCTAGTTAAACAATGTAATCACAAACTCGATAGGTTGGAACCGTCTGATTTTAGTGGCAAAAAAGGCCTATATTTTATATGTTCTGTGTTCAACTGTGTCCATCGATGAGATGCAATAAGAAAACGGTTTTGAATAATTCCTTGGCATCTCTTCTGGGGAACGGATTTACCATATTTTACAACTTTGGACCTACACTTGGTAAAAATAAAAAATTCAAGCGAAACTTTTTTTTTTACTTATTAAGATCCGTATACAGTTTTTTAATTATAGCGCGTATCTTTAAAGACCTCATAGATCTACTAAGATAAAAAAAAAACAATAAAACAATTTTAATTAGTAATTTATGATTTACGCAGAGTAGGTATTATTCTTTGAACTATGTAGTTATATAATAAGACGTATGTTTATTTGTATCAATTAAGAATAATTGTTTTTAGGAAATTGCTTATAAAGAAAATAAGTACAAAATGCACCTGCGATTACAAAATAGACATTTTATCTACCGATTATTAACATGTCCATAATAAAAACAGTCCATACGTCTTTTATATTATCACTGGAAAGTGGGGAATAACTATTTCAATTTTGTGTACCTATCGTTGAAGATGGTTAAAATTGACGGGCATTCGATTGACCAATGGGGAAAGAATGATTTAAAAAAAAAATGTATTAGGCACACTCGACTAGACTGAATGAAAAAAGTTACCCAGAAGAGATTACTGTATGTCGAAGAACACAGCAAAACCGTTTTGAGTTCAGCGTTAATTTTCCCACAAACTACATAATTTTGTTTTGTAATGTTTGACATAGTTTTTACATAATATTTTTGTAATCATTTCATTTGTTTTTACAGCATCGATGAACTCTGTCAGGTTGATAGTCGAAAGCTTGTTCAAAAGTTTTCTACTGCCGTTGTACAATATTGTGTACAAAAACACTCTGAACACTTTCCCGAGTGCGTTCTTCATTATAAGCATCGTGTTGTCTGTGCCGCTGTTGTTTTTGTTTTCGTAAGTCCGTCGACGGTAGTTGACTTAATTGTACTCTGATTTTTGAACTCTGTCTGACGGGTTTTTTTTTATATATATATTTTTACAGAATCACTTACTTTTTGACGCGCGACCAGCCGTTAGATGCCAAAACTGAAGAATGCACGTCGAACAAGACGACGGAAAGTACCGCCGAACAAATTGGCGCCGAAAAATTTTGAAAAATCCGCTCATTACAGGCGAAAAAAAATTGTATTATAACGACAACTACAAGTGTTAAACAACGATCCCGTTTAACCAACAGGTACATCGTCGGGGAACAGCTGCTGTTGGCCTAACCTAATAGTTTTAAATAGGTTGGATTTAACGATGTGAATATATAATATTCATCGTAGACGTTTTCTCCGGGCGGGCTTGAACGGAGTAATAAAATGTATATTATTGTAAATACAGTCATGACCTGAATCAATTTGGTTTAACGCGAATGAGATTATGATTTCGTTTTTATATTTTAAATAACAACGACACATTGTACAGAGTATCCGTACAGAGAACAATATATACATATATGTTATTTGATGAGGAAAAACGTTGTCACACAAACACAACATCAGTGTGGGCATCACGAACAAGTTAAACATATTTTAATATTGTGATATCATAACAAATACAATTTTGCTCGTTGATATATAATTATAATAAATTGTAAAATATATAATGCGACAAAAAAAAAAAATCACAGCAAATAAGCGCCACAGCTGGTCAATGCGGTAGTACCATTCTAATAGGTTTTTCAGTAAGGGTTTTTTAAAATTTAGATTCGTATTCCTACAAATTTGATCTCAAACGAGTGTTTATCTATAACTTTTTAATGGTAAATTTTTTTTTGTTGAAAATACGAAGTTCGCTGTGACCTCATCCCTAACACCGATTATTTTTTAATTCTACCTATTGTGTATAATAATATTTACATCTGAGTTAAAAATTATGTTGTTTATTCAATCATATCCGATTGTAATATTTATATTAAATATTATAATTTAATTATATGATTATATTGTTGTTTTAAAGTATAAAAACTGTGTAATTATTTCAATTTTATATTTTGGCTCATCGCCATCTCTTACTAAATCACTCCATCGCTGTATTGTTGGTCTTGAAGGATACCAAATAATAGTTGTGACCGTCCACTAAAATTATATACTTTATACAAATGTGTAATCAATAACAATAATAATACATTATTAGTAAATAATTTCGATACAAAATATGGGGAGAATGTATAATGTTTTAGAACGAAATATACTCAGGACGGTTCACTGTGGAGATCAATTAAAAAAATCTGTTTTAAATGAGATTCACGTTGAGTTCTATCAATACGTCATACGTTACTACTTAATGTATTAGAAATAGATAAGAGAAAATAAACGGCATTAAAAAATGTGCGAAGATTAGATTGGAACACAGAAGGCTTTTGGGAAAGTGAAATTTAGAATCCTAGCTTAAACACCTAAACAGTTTATATGCTTAATGTAAAAACAAGCACACCTGACAAATATAAATCACAGAATCATTAATATTTTCTTATCGTTTGGGGGGGGGGGGGTTTGATGGAAAATATAATATTTATATTATAAGGAAATTATTATCTGAAAATAGTTTATAAATAATTTTTTAATTTTTAAAACTTAGAAAATATTGATGTTGTTCAATATTTATATTGATTTCCCGCCAAAACATGATCTGAAGACATTTTAACAATAATTTTAGTTTGGTATTGTTACAATACTATTGTATGATGTTTTATTTAAACTGATGATGCTGCGTGGGTTAAAGTACACACTTTCTTTCTATAGATATGATCATTATTGAAATATTTTCATAGTTGTTTGAATATTGTACCGAGTAATATCGATATCAAATGTTAGGTTGGACATGTAATCATCATCATCGGCTTAATGGACCATTAAGACCCAACGCTGCCATCATGAAATGATGGTTTCTAGACGAATTGGCTGTCCGGAATATGATGTTATAGAGATATGCAATAACGATAATAATAATTAAGTTTTTATATAAGTGGCCGTCAGTTATAAACAAAGGCATGTCATCTCTCTAAGCGTTATACGTTCTGGACCAAACGTTGTTTTAAATATATTTAAGAAAAATGCTGTGTAAGATCACTGCTCCTTAAAAATCAAGAACTAATAGACTCGTGTTATTTACATAAAACACGAAAAATGTAATCGAAAATTTCGAACGGTCTGCTACGCTTATTTTGTTTTTATAATTTAAAGATAAGAAGTGCTATGCACAAAAACGTCTAGCAGATAAACAATGCTTATCTGAATATTATAAAATCAATAGTATAATAAACCATGCATTTTCTCCTACGATCCTAGTTTTTATACCTACATTACAATATAGCCACGTTCGCTGGTCACGAAATAATTTACACTGTTTAATATTTTGGATATGTGTTTGCCAGTACGCGTTGTGAATACAAATCCTTAATGCGGATACGTTTTTAACATACGACATGAGGACGGAGTGTTTTTATTCTTTAATAATAAAATATTAATAACGCTGGTAAAATAGTGTAAGACGTATCAGTATAGTGACGTACCTATAACGATTCTCTCACACTGTAGTATTGATATTGTGCCAATCACAGTGTTTTTTGTTTGTTTTGCATTTAATAAGTTAACAACAGAGCAGTATAGTTTTATATCACGTTAGTGCAAATGCTCATCTCATCCGCGGACCGACGAAGCTAGTTATCAGCTATGGTCGAGATCTCGTTAAAAATAACACATTATAACGATGAGTCACGCGTCTAATCGAATTCTAACATCAAACGAAACCATATTGTACTCCAGCCATGTACCTATGTACAATATTGTGCTCATCGATTGCCGGATTTTCATCAAGTGATTTGATTAGTTCGAGTTCTCTACATTCGTGTGCGGTTTTAAAAGCAAACTAAACATAATCGTGTTGTGACACAGTGAAAAAAATAATTGATTTGAAACTGTTATAACATAATCGTGTAATTACATTGTAAATAATAATAACAATGGTAATGTTATAATTTATTCACGTTACGATTAAACCGCTCAGAGTCGAATCAGCCGCCGGCGCCGTTAATGCGGTCTAGTCGATCGGCGGGAATGATCGAGTGCAGACCTCGCGCGTATTCGACTGGTTTCCGAAAATGTTGTCCTATCTGAAGAGCAAACTGTCGGTGGAGCCGGTGGTGTTTATGTACTTTCTGACCATGGTGTTTTCCAACAGCCTCAGCACGAATCTGTTGCTGTACAAAGCGTGCGACCCGTCGGGCGCGATCAGCCAACGGGTGGGCGCCGGATGCGACCACGAGACGGATGCCCAGCACGTGGTGGCCCCCATTAACGGCTGGAAGGGCCTGGTGCAGCAGGTCGTGCCCACCGTGCTGGCGTTGTTCGCGGGCACGTGGAGCGACCGGCACGGCCGCAGCCGGCGGCCGCTAATGCTGTTGCCGATCATCGGGCAAATCCTGTCCGACCTGCTGTCCGTTTACTGCACCGTCAACTGGTCCATGTCGCCGTGGCTCACCGCCGTGTTCCAGGTGACCGCGGTGACGGTCACGGGCGGCCCGCCCATGTTGTTCAACGGCGTGTACTCGTACATAGCGGACACCACGACCGAAGAATGGCGCACCGTCAAGTTCGGCATGGTGACGTGCGTGATGGCCGTGGGCGGCATACTGGGCATGCTGATCTACGGGTACGTGGTCGTCATGCTGGGCTTCGTGTCCGCGTACTTTGTGTCCATCGCGTTGGGCATTACGGCCTTGGCCATGGCCTTTGTGTTCATCAAAAACACTGGCATACCCTACGACAAAGAACCTCTGTTCCAAGATGTTATTCACACCGTCAACCCCGTGTCCGTTCTACGCACCTGCTACCAAGTGATGACCAAGCGACGGACGGGTCACACATCATTGGTGCTCTGGCTGGTAGTCGTCCTGTGTGCACCTTTTACCTGCGTACCTTTAGACGGTGAGTTATCAATTAAATCGGTATCGCTGTCATTAAAAAAAAAAAAAAACAAAGGCTACATTTTGATTTAAAGTGATATATTTTACTGTTATCAAAACAAGACGAATTTTTTAAAAATTTAGTCTTCTTAAATTATGCAAATCAATTGAGTAATTTTTTATTTTGTACTCAATTTCGACTTACATAGATAATTGCTAATAGTGTAAATAGCTCAACACCTAATTAGATAATAACTATAACTGATGCGATCGGTCGGAATACATTTATTGCGATATGTTTTTACTATTTATACATCATTATGAAGTGTGACAACTTAACAAACATACCTATCTTAAACATATTAATTAGGTCAATGTTTTGGAAGAGTTTAGCGGTACTACTACAGTTTACCTATAGTTTTATAATTATGATTATAATAGTAGTAGGTATAATAAAATATTAAATTTTGAGTCCATCATTATTTATTATTATTAAAAAACTAAATTAGGTATATCGATTATATAATAAAACAAACCTCCTCGTGCACGATGCCGACCCACCACTTAACTTATCCTAGATCTACAAATGACAATCTTGAATTGGCTACATTCATAACTAGATAGAAAAAAATGGTAAATATAATATAAAATAAATTATAATGTATAGACATATTATAATGTACTTCGTTAAAGCCAATCGTAAAATTAATACAATTATGTCGTTTGACAAATCAATAATAATAAAGATTAGAGTTCAACAACTATATTTTAATGTATAATAAAATGTAAATTAAACCTTTGAATAATATGAAAGGGGCTATCAGACAAAGAAGCTCCAATGTTGATACCAAATATCTTAATCTGTTAGCTTAATAACAATATTTAACTACTGTTACTGATATTTACTATACATTTTATTATATGTTATCCCATTATCATTAGATACAATATACTATATATTGCATGTAACGACAAACCATACGAATAAATAAATAAATTACATAGTAATTGTTTGTCTATTTTTTTAAAAAACAAAGCGTTATAAATAAATTATTTAATTTTATAATATTATATTATAATTGCTATTATTGCACCTTTTTTGTGTTGGCTGATAATGAAACTCGCTTACATAAACCCATAAATTATAGCATTATAATTTCTGAATTATAAAGCCAAATTTATTCCTACAAAAATCAATTTAGCTGGCCAAAAGCTAAATATGATAGCAGAAAGATTTGTTTGAACTCTAAAGTATCATACAAAGAATTAAAATTGTGATTTGTGTTGGTCGCTTATAGTTGTTAATATATTTAAATTATTTCAGCAAAATTAGACCTAATTCAGATTTTGGTTTACTTAACTAACTAAGTCTATAATATCATCAAATGAACAGTAATGCAAGAACATTTTGACCTGCACAATTCAATTAATATGTACCTTTGAACCTTATTAATTTGTATAAACATATTGGATAATTAAAAATAATTAGTTATTAATAATTACAATTGTATGAATAACACAAAGTCTTATATGAAAATAACAGTAATAATGTTCAAGAAAACTATAACAGTTTTAGTGAGTGTAACTCACAAAATCGAATTTAATAGCTACTGTAATATGATATACATTTGAAACAAGTGAGTCCGCTGTATTCAATTACTTAGGATTTTAATACATCCATCTTACACATTTTCAGTTATGATAACTATATTAAAAAAAAAACTAAAAAGAGCGTTAAAACGAGAATATCCGTTTTAATGATAGCCCTATTGATATTTGGTTTATCTGTAAAAATATATGTATATGTATGTTAATGTATTTATTTGTATTGTTTTATAATTACTGAATAATTGAATTTTAAATAGCGATTATCTTAAGTCTGTGTCGCTTTGTCTGAAAGGCGTGTATTTATTTGTTATTGTATCCACACACGTCATACATAATTTAACTATAATAAAATCACAACTATTTGAGCTAAAACAATAATTGTTTTGTAATTATTGTAATTTTACTCTCTACGTGTACTCTCTATCAATCGATTTATCACTAAACGCTTATCTATAGAAAATAATAGAACTCTTTAGAAAAACCCCGAAAAATATTCATGAGTGCCGGTATATTTTTAATTTAATTAAGGGGATTGCATGCGGTTGGTTTTTAAGGAGTTTTGTATAGGCAATATTTAGAGAAAAAGTGGTTTTAATAAATTTCGATCATGTCAATTAATTTACCGGTTAATTTGTATAAGCTTCGTGGTATTATTTTTAATTTAAATTATTTTGTCTATGAGTAAAAACCATTTTAGTTAATATTACATACATTTGTTGTTCCATCGCACAGGCTGAACCAGTGATTCGATAAGTAATCTAAAAACAGATTTGAATTCGTCATGAAGTTTACTTGTGATCGGTCAGGGTACTTTTTTGATATCTTATTCCTACTATGTATAAAACACGTTTGAGTATTATATAAAATTTCAGATTTTAAAATCAAATTTGGAAAGGGTTAAAATTAAAAATTGAAAAAAGTACCCTGACCGATCATAAGTAAACTTCATGGCGAATTTAAATCTGTTTTTAGATTGCTTATCGGATCACTGGTTCAGTCTGTGCAATGGAATAAAAATGATGTGTTTGACTGAAAAAAACCGACCGCATGCAATCCCTTTAACGTATTGGTTATTTTATTTTTAATTTCGACAGCCCTCGTATTAAATATTAGTAAACATGAAACATGTTTTTTATTGGATTAGATAATATTATGAACCAATGTTTATTTTTTATTTTTTCTAGGAGAAATTTCAGTCATGTATTTGTTTATGCGATACAAGTTTCACTGGAACGAAGTCGATTTTAGTATATTTAACGCTTACCAGATGGTAATCATATTAGGAGGTAATTGTATAAAATTCTTTAGAATTAACATAAAAACTTACTTATTGCTTAAAATATTTATGTCCGTATGATCCAGGTACTATTTTTTCTCTAAGCATTCTTAGCCATAAACTCGGATGGAACGACGCGTTGATTGGATTAATAGCTTCGGTATTTGACTTGTTGGCATCTCTTTCGTTTTTTTTAGCCTCAAAGTCATGGCATCTGTATTTAGGTAAGTCGTCCTAATCATACCTATATATTTCAATTATCTACACTATTTCATACTCCAGAATACTAATAAACAATAGGAGAAGTATGATTTTTTTAGGTTACAAATGTATTTTAACGAATAATTATTGTTTCTATTGCAGTGCCGCCGTTGGAACTGTTCCGAGGTGCGGGAATGTCTATAACAAGTTCAATAGCTTCAAAGTGTGTCGGGCCTGATGAATTAGGTAACAGTTGTTCTACACATTATTTTGAATAATTAATTTGCATGTTTAGATTTTAAAAGGCCAACCCAGTGGGGACAGTGATGTCATTACCCGTAGGTCTTTAGGAATTATTAAAATTGAGAGTAATACATACAAAATCACTCACAAAACACACTTCGAAGAAGACAAAGTCAATAACGATAAAAGATAAAAAATCCCCATACATAGGCAATACATGTGTTTATAATAGTGTTGTAGAGTTATTAGAACTAGGACTTTTTCAAATATTCGCCTGTAGAATGTACCTTTCGAGTACTATTTTTGATCTATATAATTTTTACATGAAAAAATCGATCCTGATTAAAGTACCAAAATAAAGTTATTAAGTCCTAGAATTAAACAAGATGATGCTCGATAGTTTAAACTAGAATTGTGTAAAAATTAATTTCTATTTTCAAATTCACTCCACGTTTCAGTATTTACAACTTAAGTTTTAATTTAAATTAAATATCTTTATTAACTTAATATATAAAAATTGGAAACAATTGATGATGAGTTAATCTTAACATTATGGAGCCTAAATTTTCCAAAATAATATTTTGTTTCATAATTTCTTTGTTATAGGTGCAATGAACTCGGTCAGAATATTAATAGAAAGTTCTATGAAAGGTGTTTTTTTGCCAATTTACAGTATGTGTTATAATACAACTTTAGAGATAATGCCTAGTGCATTTTTTGTAATCAGCTCATGTTTAACTGCTCCGCTGATCATCATATTCAGGTAAGCATATTCAGGCATTTGATTAAAAATATATTATTTATTTTGTTTACTTAACGAGACAGAGTAAAATAAAATAATACCATTAAATTATTTTTTTAAGAAAACATCAATATACTTTAGAAAGTAAATTCTATGTCGTTATACTGATTTCGTGGTAATTTTATATGATTGCAGTGTAATCTATTTCTTAAACCGAAACTCAAACAAGTCGGTAATAGAGCTGAACATCAATAGCAACACTATAAGTAAACCTAAAAGTGAACAAAGTCCCATCAACGATGGCGATATAATAAACTATCATATTTAAATTTAAAAGTAAAATAATAGCCATCTATTGTATAATATTGTAAAATCATTATAAATATTTATTTAAACATTTTGTTTTATATAGAACTAAGTATCTATGTATGTCTATATGTCTTCTTATGAAATAATATACATTTCAAATATGTGTAAAATTACATTTAATTGTATTATAGTTTTTAAGAGAATCATACGGTGTACCACATCGTATTTACCAAAATCCAAAATTAATTTACTTATATTATTAATGTAAAGCAAGTCCATTTTGAAATAATTAACATGTATGTAGGTAATAATTATTTTGTAAATATATTTGTAGCAATGTTGTAAAGCTCTCGAAACGTTCATCCGTAATTGTATTGTAACCCATTTGGCATTCAATCGGCACTCAAAGAACGGCTAATCACGGTATACGCGATGGCCTAGGTGATCGTTGACCATCCCAACTGTACAATATTATATATTACTGTTTTATTTGTTCATACTTTTAGACAAACTATGAATATCCCCTTTAAATAAAAAAAAAAATCCCTCGTTTTCTCTACGATCGCTTGTGTCCTGAGCGGTCCCACCAGAAAGAGCTCAAGAAACTTATAGTTGATAATAAAACTACTTTTAAAAGAAGATGTTAATATTAAAAATAATGATTTATATACATAATCCTTCTCCTCTGCTGTTATCATTTCTATTTCTCGTCCCGCTTGAAATCCTAATAATTTTTTTTCAAATAATAAGTCAAATCGACCGACCAGACTGTGGGTTTGATGTTTTTATAATTACTTTTGTGCCGTCTTAGTCCTCTTAATAAAATCTGTCAGTCAAAAAATACACCCCCTTTTTTTATCGGTGTACAAATTTAATGTAGTTTTACTTTGTCAATTGTGTTTTATTTATACCACTGCTCCTATCGGTTTTCATTGAAACTAAATTTCGTGTTTCCAAACAAACGGCCTAATGGCTTATCTGTATATTATTTTCATATCAATGGTTTTACGATTAAACCGTGCAAAGTCAAATCAGTCGTCGCCGCTAACGTGGGGTGAAAACAGTCCCCTCCCAGGTGTGGCCACATAAATCTGTCGCCACGCAGCTCGTGTCTGTAAAAACCGGTCGCCGCCGACCTGACGAGGTACCTTTTAGCGGTTTTAACCGTACTGAGTCGGATCAGTCGCCGCCATTAATGCGGTCTAGTCGATCGGCGGCAATGGTCGAGTGAAGACTCCGCGCGTAATCGACTGGTTTCCGAAGATGTTGACCTATCTGAAGAGCAAACTGTCGGTGGAGCCGGTGGTGTTTATGTACTTTCTGACCGCGGTGTTTTCCAACAACCTCAGCACGAACCTGTTGCTGTACAAAGCGTGCGACCCGTCGGGCGCGATCGGCCAACGGGTGGGCGCCGGATGCGACCACGAGACGGATGCCCAGCACGTGGTGGCCCCCATAAACGGCTGGAAGGGCCTGGTGCAGCAGGTCGTGCCCACCGTGCTGGCGTTGTTCGCGGGCACGTGGAGCGACCGGCACGGCCGCAGCCGGCGGCCGCTGATTCTGTTGCCGGTCATCGGGCAAATCCTGTCCGATCTGCTGTCCGTGTACTGCACGGTCAACTGGTCCATGTCGCCGTGGCTCACCGCCGTCTTCCAGGTGACCGCGGTGACGGTCACGGGCGGCTCGGCCATGTTGTTCAACGGCGTGAACTCGTACGTAGCGGACACCACGACCGAAGAATGGCGCACCGTCAAGTTCGGCATGGTGACGTGCGTGATATTCGTGGGCAGTATAATGGGCATGCTGATCTACGGGTACGTGGTCGTCATGCTGGGCTTCGTGTCCGCGTACTTTGTGTCCATCGCGTTGGGCACCACAACAATGGCCATGGCCTTTGTGTTCATCAAAAACACTGCCGTGCCCTACAACAAAGAACCTCTGTTCCAAGATATAATTCACACCATCGACCCGTTGTCTGTTCTACGCACCTGCTGCCAAGTGATGACCAAACGACGGACTGGTCACACATCTTTGGTGCTCTGGCTCGTAGTCGTCCTGTGTGCACCTTTTACCTGCGTACCTCTAGACGGTGAGTTATCGATTAAATCAGTATCGCTGCCATTTTTTTTTAAATAAACCGACAAAAATAATTATGTAAACAAGTGCTTAATTATTTTATGTGGCTTGTTGCTATTGAATGGGTTTCGGTTCAGCGACAGTGGCTACACTAGATTTATAGTGACTTAAACCAAAAAAAAAGGTATCTTTGTTTGTATACACTGGTTTTAAAAGAAAAAAGCAATGTTTTGTATTAATATGAATATGATAATAAAAATAACTATTATAAATATACTAACACATTGCCGCCGGCGACCCAAGTGTTTTCATTCGTTGTAAAGCCACTTGGGTTGCCGGTGATTTAAGTCATGTCATTTATGTGACGCCACTTGGGTCGCCCGCTGTCAAATATAACATTAAAGCAAATTAGATTTAATTCTTCACGGCTTGGAGATAATATTATGTATTTACTATAAACCATGGCGTAGACGAGGAAATATCGATTTTGTAAAAAAAAAAAAAAAACAATCAAATCGTCAAACTTTAATAGACTGTATTAATTGTTGAACAGAGCAAATTTTCAACACATTCTAATTAATTATTTTGATATAACTAGTGTTTATTTATATGGCTTAAACAAGAAAACTTAATTTTTTAACATGTAAAATGTATTCATATAAAATGTGAATTTGAAAATAATTCTTGTAACTCATAAAATGTAAAAAATTGCTCCTCGCAATACATTAAAGTTTAAATATAAATAAAACAGTTTTAATATAATTTCAAAAAGTATACAAACTTAATTTTTCAAATGGCCTTGAAAACATTGTATGCACACAAATTGTTTCGATGGACAAAGACTGCAAAAGGTAGTCACTTGTTAGCTTTATTGAGGGCTTCCTTAAAAATAATATATTCAAATTCAAAACTAATATTTATTTAATCATATAACATTTAACTTAACAGTACTTGTATCCCAATTCGTTTGAAATTTTTTTGTAGCATTCCGTGCACCTTTTTCTTATTTTTCTGTTTCGCAAACATCTTTATTCTGTTTCCTCACGTTTATATTTAACAGTTCGTCTTCTTTGGATTCTATCTTCAACTGGTTGTTCGAAATCGAAGTATTTGTAGTAACTGCTCTAGATGTAGGTTTAAATTTAAGGAGTTTGTCTACAAGAACTTCACGAAATTGGTGTATGGTGAGTTTATTTCGAAAATTTAGTTCATTATACATAATTTGTGCGTTTACTACAAAAGTGTTCAAAATTATCTCAGTTGCTACCTTGTGATACCAACGAATGATTTTTCTCGCAGGAGTATAATATGATGCTAACTAGTCGGATAGATCTATTCCAGCTTTCCTAGAATTGTAGAACAATATGATTACAGGTTTGACTATATATTCGTTATTCTCAATTTTTTTTCCAGTGTTTGTCATACTTAATTGATGTCGAGTTGAAAGTAAGTGATTATCTCGTTTATCTTGTAACTTCGATACTACAATACCTAAACTATTTTCGAGACCAATAAATTCTACTTTTTAAAATGTTTTTTCTACAACAAACAATTTTACACCATACTTGTGTGTTTTGATATACATTTTGATATTAACTAAAAAAATTCTGATAAAGAAATATTACAATACTATTATATGCATCTATAAATATGCTATTTGTTAAATTATCAAGAGACAGCGGGCGGTCAAGCGACCTGTATATTGAATCACAACATTGGCAAGCCGCATGTCAGCCGGCGACCCAAGACTTTTTTTTTGTATGATAATATTTACGAATAACTGATTATAAAAATATAAATTTTATCAAAATCGAACAGCTGTAACTATTTTTAGACGTGTAAACATTTGGAACAAACCACATAAAAATAGTGTGGCCTTGCACGCGCTAAATTGTCTTGGGTCGCCGGCGGTCATGTGGCAGTCAACGTGTTAATTAGGCCAAACATAGTAAGTTAAACCTCTGAAATTCTTAAGAGTTAGGCGGTACTACAGTTTACCTATACTTGTATAAGTATATAACTATGATTATAATAGTAGTTTTGAAATAAAATATTAAATTTTGATTTCAACATAATAGACATACTTGTCTAATAATATTTATTTGGAAAACAAAGTTGCATCCTACCGTAAGGTGTTTTTGGATCAACGTGGAACAAAATAAATTATTGACCTTTATAGTATTATACTATTAACGCTATTATTGCACCTATATTGTGTACAAATTGGTATTGACTAATAAGGAAACTTGCTGTATGTTATAGCATTTTAATTTCAAAGCCATTACAAATTCCTTCAAAATTTTTAATTAAGTTCACCAAAAGGTAAATACGAAAACAGATTGACTTGTAGAATTCGAATATGTACCACTAATATGTACCTAATTAGTTAGTATAAATATAATTGATAATGGACAATTCAAAATAAATAAAATTGTATAAATAATACAATGTCTTATATGAAAAGAACAGTTATAATGTTAAAGAAAACTATAACAGTTTTTTTGGGTGTAACTCACTAAAACGAATTAATTAGCTATTGTAATATTGTATACATTAGCTAGTTTAGGTTAGGTTAAATAGAGCGTGTGTGCGACTATAGTTCAAAATTTTTAACACATTCTCTATAGGTCCTTAATGACAAAAAAACATAAAACAACTTTTTTTTGGATCTAGTTATTTAAAAAAAAATACTTAAAATTGTATCTTTTAACGCTGGGAATTTATTTTTCAAAAACTTGTTTTGTGGTTAAAAAAATAAAAAAATTTGGAAAAATATTTTGTTTAAATAAAATTTAAGTTAAGTTCTTATGACCCATATCTTCTTTGAACCAATTGAGTTTTTTTTTTTACTAGTAATTTACGATTTTAAACACAAGGGTTCAAATTTTTCGATTTATATTTTTTTGGAATATACACAGTTGCGTAAACTGTTAAATTAATTCCTTAGTATAACTGTATTAAAATGTAATATTATTAGATTAATTATTAGATTAGGCGCATCTAAATTAACAGTAACAATATTTTGTACTACACATAAATAAATTTCAGAATATATTAGTACAATGAGAAAGAAATTAAAAGAAATACAATAAGTAATCATTTTATTAACTTTTATCTAAATTTTTATTTAGTTATAATTTATAAATTACATAATAGTAATATTTATTATTATAGATATGCACTTATTTTTAGTTTTTAATTAAAATATATTAACAGATTTTGAGTCTTTAAACTTTAATATCATTGGTATTTGGTGGTTATGTATAAAATTGAAATCCTTCAATTTTTGATTTACAAAATTTGGACATCATTTTTGGGGTAAAATTTTGATTGTTAGATAATTTTCGCAAGCTGGCCTTATAAACTAATCCGTCACATGTACTCTTTCCGTGTGTGGTCTCAAAAAAAATTCACTGAGTCTCTAATCCATTGTCTGTTTTATGGTTACAAAGATTAGCGATATTTGTATAATACTTATAGCTAAAGAGCGAGCGAATATAATTAGTTAATGAGAGTAAAAATAATAGACAACCCTCTTTACAAGATGTGTATAGATGTCAAGACGTATGCTTTGAAATTGGCCTTATAAGTAGGTAACAACTAATATTAAACCAAAAATACTACGATATAAGTTTAAAGACCGGTATAGAATTCCAATCACCTGCAACACGATTATATTGTTATTTATAAATTTCCGTAACATTATAAATCAATGTTGTTTATTTATTTTTCTAGGAGAAATATCAGTCATGTATTTGTTTTTGCGATACAAGTTTCACTGGAACGAAGTCGATTTCAGTATATTTAACGCTTACCAGATGGTCATCATATTAGGAGGTAGTTGTATACAATTTTTGTTTTGATTAAACATAGAAATGTATAAAATAAAAACACAAGTTTTTTACTTATTCTGTATAATATTGTGTGATCCAGGTACTATTTTTTCTCTAAGCATTCTTAGCCATAAACTCGGATGGAACGACGCGTTGATTGGATTAATATCTTCGGTATTTGACTTGTTGGCATCTCTTTCATTTTTTTTAGCCTCAAAGTCATGGCATCTGTATTTAGGTAAGTCGTCCTAATCATATGCTTCTCAATTATCTGCAATATTTCTTACTCCAAAAGATACTAATAAACAATAGGAGAAGTATGATTTTTTTTTGTGTTACAATTGTATGGAAATAAATTTGTATTGTTTCTATTGCAGTGCCTCCGTTGGAATTTTTCCGAGGGGCTGCATTTTCTGTAACAAGTTCAATAGCTTCAAGATGTGTCGGGCCAGATGAATTAGGTAACATTTGATCTACTTATTATTTTGAATAATTAACTTGTGTGTTTAGATTCTAAAAAGCCAACCCATTGGGGATGAAACATAGTAGAGACAGTGATATCGTGGCCCATGGGTCTTTGGGAATTATTATTATAACTGAAGGTAATACATACAAAATACACTCCCAAGAAACGCTTCGAAAATCTCAAAATTAATAAAGATAAATTATAAAAAATCACCATATAGTTTTATATTAAATTAAACATCTTTAATAAGTAAGTATTATAATTGGGAAAATTTGATATTGAATTAGTCTTAACATCATAGAGCTCACATTTTTCAAAATAATATATTGTGTTATTAATATTTCATCGTTTTAGGTGCAATGAACTCGATTAAAATATCAATAGAAAGTTCTATGAAAGGTGTTTTTTTGCCAATTTACAATATGTGTTATAATACAACTTTAGAGGTAATGCCTAGTGGATTTTTCTTAATCAGCTCATGTTTAACTGCTCCGCTGATCATCATATTCGGGTAAGCATTTGATTAAAAATATATTATTTATTTTGTTTACTTAACGAGACAGAGTAAAATAAAATAATACCATTAAATTATTTTTTAAGAAAACATCAATATTCTTTAGAAAGTAATTTCTATGTCGTTATACTGATTTCATGGTCATTTTAAATGATTGCAGTGTAATCTATTTCTTAAGTCGGAACTCGAACAAGTCGCTGAACATCAATAGCAACACTATAAGTAAACCTAAACGTGAGCAAAGTCTTATGAAAAAAGGCGGTGTAATAAACTATCATATTTAAATTAAAAATTACAATAATAGCCATCTATTGTACAATATTTCGTAAAGACATTATGAATATTTTTTAAAATTTTTGTTTTATAAAGAACTAGTTTATCTGTCTTTTAGTGAAATAAATTACATTTAAAATATGCGTAAAATTAAAATTAATTTTTATTTTTTAAATATATTTGTAGCAATGTTGTTAGTATCTTGAAACATTTACCTGTAACTCTAGTCTCATTTAGCAACTTTATTATAACTATATATACAAATCATTGCATTTTTTTATTACCCTTTTTATAAATATAAAAATATTATGTAAAACATTTAGTAATAATTCGATTTGTTGTGTTATATTATTTAATGTTATTTATCATTTACTACATTGATACACTTAAGTGGTTATAATAATGATTTTAGACTATCAAAAATTAATATATATCTATTTGTGCTTATTTTGTAGTGCAAAGTGAGATTGTTTCAAGCCAAGATGACAGATTACCATGTATTGGAGATGGACGAAACCAGGTTTACAAAAAAACCATTGATGGTAATTGTGTTCAGTATTATAAAAAAATTAGTATGACTAAACAAATACTTTCATAGGAGTATACCTTTTTTATGAGAATAACGCAGAAAAAAGCCGCTCCGGTTATTCTATATACAGTGTTTCACAAAGATATAACAAATTAAATAACTTTTGTTCTAGTGAATATTTTTAAATCAATGTATACTCATTTGCGTTATAAACACCACGGTTTTTATTACTCTTAACCGGTTAACTTTTTTCAATTTTTTTCATTCAATTTACCGAGAATTTTGACTGGCCGATAACCAGTTTTGGATAAATACTTATAGGGTAATATTGGAATATGTAAATATTTATGTTTAATACATTCTGATTAGACGTATATTGTAATAAAATATTTGAAAAATATGTTACAAAACCACTATTGACAATATTCAGTACTTCCGGAATAAAAATTTTAAAAAAAGTAGGAAAAAAACACAAAAGATTTCAAACAGGTGTCCATCCCTGGTGGGGATCGAACCCACGACCTTTGGATTAGAAGTCCAACGCGCTATCCTCTGCGCTACAGGGACTGTTGATGAATGATGTCAAATATTATAGTCTCTAGTCTCTTAGTTTTTTTGATAGCAACTTTTGGACCTTAAATGGTAACACATACATTTCAATTTTCATTAACTTTTAAATTGAAAATAATGTACTAAAAATTGTAACTGGTCGATAAGCAGGTTTGGATAACTATTTTTTTAAGTTATTGAAGTTTCATGTTTAAAAATTGTGAGAAATTGAGATCACATTGTATAATAACATTATGGAAAAAAAAAATGCTATTATTAATTAAACCCAGTGAGGTATTGAGTGGTTCACGATAAGTTGATCACTCTGTATTGTACATTTATTATATCATAATTGGGCAATCGTTAAAATTAATTCTTTAGAAAAACGTATTTCCTCAATGGTTTAAAAAAAAACATCAATATTACCTAATCGATTTTTAGGCCTATTGTTACATTTTTATAAGGTACGCAGTACAACAAGAAAAACCGCCTAAATCTTTATGTATAGGCAAAAAAAACATTACTTTTATACAATACATTGCTAATTGCGCTCGTTTACTTTTTTACTGTAGGGGTTTTTTTTAAACGAAATAATACTTTTTTTTTAAACCTTTTTGTAGCTTACTCAAAAATACAATATTTTAGTTTTTTATATGAACGGTTTTAAGTGAATTCCTTAATAGCAGACTGGAAAAATGCTCGGATTTGTTAATTCGATAATTTCATTATCGTGTTGCTGTTGAACACTACAACACCATACCGGTTGTACCATTGTGTTACTATTGTATTATATATTGTGGTACTATACATTGTACATTGCAATTTGTATTTTTGTGAACCTTGACAAATCGCTGTACTTGTAGACGTCGGAATCAAATTTTAAACTTTCATTTCTCAGTCGGCCAGAGTCCCGCGAGCCAAATATCCCGCTGTACGGCGCACACCTGATTTTATCGCATCCAACGGCTGCCGACCGACCGAAAGGGAATGTTTTCGCTTCGACCGGCCGGCCACACTGATTGTCTCGCACCGTGCATGTGCGAAAACGGCGGGAAATCTGACTTTATCACTGTCGTTTGTTTACATTGGCATTACATTGAAGAATTTTTTTTTTCCGACTGACCGACTCGCTTAACGTGTCAAATTCATTTGTTAGGTTCTCCATGATTTCAACGACGTGACATTTCTCATGCTGACCGATTTTGCATTTTCCCCTACCCGTGTGTAAATCAGTTTTTTTTTCTCGAATTTTAACTGTCCCGTTTCTATATAGATCTACATCCGACATGCAGGTATAATCATCGAATTTATTTATTTACACCTAATATTAAAATATAGGTACGATATTGTGTCCACGATCATGTTCGTCAATATCGAATATATATTATTACTATTAAAACGCTGTCGGCTGTGTTGTGTGTACAAAGGATTTTCGTTTACAGAGTGCCATCAAAAACAGACTGTTTGTAAAAGAGAGTTCTTCTAGAGGCGACAGTCTTAATACAAAGTATGATAAATTAGAGCAGATCGGTGAAGGCACGTACGGAGTAGTTTACAAAGCGTTGGACAAACAGACTGGGAAATATGTGGCTCTCAAGAAAGTCAGAATGGAATCGTAAGTCGTTTTACACATGATATTTCTTACATCAGTTTAAATTATATTGTAATGAAAACAAAAAAAAAATGAATGGTAAGTATGTATATATTATGTATAGGAGCACAGAAGGTGTACCTTCTACAGCGATGAGAGAAATTTCCTTACTAAAAGAAATGTCACATGCCAACGTAGTTAAACTGTATGATGCCATTTTATCAGATAAAAAATTATTTCTAGTTTTTGAATATATGGATTATGATTTAAAAAAGGTATTAGAATTACGTAAAAAAGAATTTGGATTTGGACTACCAGAACCTCAAATTAAGGTAAGACAAATTTTGTTTCCTTCTCGTAATTAATCATGCAGATCTATTACCTGGTTATTTGACGTCAAACCAAAATTAAGTGTAATCTAATTAATGAGATTAGTATACACAATATCTAACAACGAAGAATACTTCAAATTAATGTTTAAATGACTATATTAGTATTTATATTTCAAAAATATATTACATTTACTTTTACAGCAATAGGATACAAAAAATGTCTGTAAAGCAGAGCTGAGACTTCGTTTGATTTTGATAAATCTTAAAGATGATTTTGAAAAATGCTTGTATTATCAACAATTATTTTAATAATTTTAATAGTTATTAAATTTTACGCAATAATTTGCTGAATCTAACACAGATTACTGTTGATATACTTATATATTTTTTTTTTAGAAATATCTTTACCAAATGTTAAGTGCTCTGTCGTATTGCCACATTCATCGTATTGTGCATCGTGATTTAAAACCACAAAATCTTTTAGTCAACACTAAAGGTGATATCAAACTAGCAGACTTTGGACTAGCTAGAGCATTTTCTTTTCCGTTGCGAAATTATACACATGAAGTTATCACATTATGGTATAGAGCTCCTGAAATATTATTGGGAGCTAAAATATATACCATGGCTGTAGATCTTTGGAGTCTTGGTTGTATTTTCACTGAAATGGTATGTTGTACAATTATTTAAAAATGCATAGGCTTATTACATAGTTAAGCTTATTTTATTAGGGAAGGTCACGGTGGTTCGAGTTCGGTGATTCCATTTGAATGAAAATAAATGGGATTACTTTTAATATCAATTTTTTCCGTTTTTTTGCAAGCCCTTGTCAAGGTTGTTTGAACACTTATCCAATTAGTTTTACCGTTTATTATTTTCCTATAGTTTTCTTTGACATTCGTGACCTTGCCTCCCCTTGACAGTTCATTAATCAGCAGTCTTATTTAGTTAAAAGTAAAAAGTTTTACAATAATGTAATAATATATTTTTTTCTATTATTAACCAATTTTTAATACACTCATTTTGCTGTTAATTTATTTTTATTTTTTTGGTGGGAGGGGCAAACTTAAATATTTTTTCTAAATACACCACTGTTAAATAGTATATTTACATGTAACTTGGAAAGTATATTATTTATATAAGTATAATTTAAAAATGATAATAATTTGTCATAAATATTTTGACGCATTCAAAAATTTTACTTTTGAGGCATTAACATTTTCAAAAATTACTGAATCAGGCTCAATTTTGTTTGACTATTTCCTAGACATTTAATTTTTAAATAACACATTTTTAAATTGACCGATATATATATGATAGAAGCAATTAATTATTATTTCTGTATGATTTTATTAGTTTACATTGAAGCCATTGTTCCCGGGTGATTCAGAAATCGATCAACTGTTCAGAATTTTCCGTACTCTAGGAACTCCGACCGATGAGACATGGCCAGGTGTTCAAAAGCTTCAAGATTTTAAACCTATGTTTCCTCTATGGGAGGCACGTGATATAAGTGATTTCTTACCTGAGCTCACGGACAAAAAACAACAAAATGTATTTTATGTAAGTAAACATTAGTAGAGCGCTTAATAATAGAAAAATGTTGACATCAATCCTGCTTACATTAATACAACCATAAAATTATAGTCTTTGAAAAAAAAAAAAAAAAGGTGCTACTTAATGGACAACAATGTAAAAAAACCATATTACAAAAAAAAAAGTATTAATTGATTTTTTTTTCTAAATCTTTATTTTATTATTTCTTCAAGAACAAATAAACACATTTTATGTACAATTTATTTATTTATAATCTATATTTTTGTTGTATATAATAACTTTTGGTTTATTGAAATTTAAGGCGTTGTGTACTTACAATCCAGCAAACAGGATGTCTGCTGAAAAAATTATGGAAATGGAATATTTTGATAATTTAAGACAGACGTTGCTCCCAGAAACCCCTTGAAGAAGATAATTCATTGAAGTACATAAATATTTTTTTTAAAAATTATTTTTAACAGTGAGTTATGAATATTTGGTTTATTTGGAGTGTTGATAATATTCGAGTTATAACAAGACTAAGAATTGAATTTTAACAATGTAAATAATTAGTAAATTACCATTGACCGAATATTTAGGTATAATGTTGACTTAGTTTTGACCCAGAAATGTATGTGTAAAAATTAATCGACATTATTAGTGGAAAACATTAAAATTAACATAATGTTTTCATAATTTTTTTTTTCTTAAAATTTTTTATTTTTACTTAAAAATTTGTTCTATTACGATTTGTTTTGATTTTTTCCTTTTTTTGTATTATTTTTGTTAAAGTATTAAAATGTATTCCACGATGAGCATTGTGTTTTTTAATCTTATATCGATATTATTATTGCTGGTGTTGTATACCAAATAAAAATGAAAAACGCCAAAGCGGCGTTTTGAATTATAAGTAAAGTCATTGGTACAACTGTGCAGCACATTAGCAACCACATGCCAGTTTGATTGTATTATAAAATATTGTTCATATTTTAATTAAACAAAAAACACGTACAAAAACACAATTCAACGTAAACTATTATTATCGTTATTTTTGTTGTTTACTTTGTGACTGCTTCTTCGGGTAAAACAATATTGTTTTGAAAAGAAGACGACCGTTGAGTAGCCGATCGTCTAAGACCACCCTTTGAGTTAATGTTGGCTTTTAGGGTGTGCTTGTCTTCATCGTTCGTTGGAGTTACGACGATTCTGACATGGCTTTTAGGTCGGTCTTCTTGGCTGTATGGTTTTGTATGTAATGAACTTTTCAAGCTAGAACTCCTCTGTAGCTAAGCATTAATGATAATTTTTCCAAGTTAAAAATAATTGTTAAAAAAAACTCAAATAAAATATTTTAGGTATATTTCAAAGTTAATAAAACGTTATACAAAATTTTGCGCTTACAACATATAGTTTTAAATATAGTATACCAGCAAGTGTTTAACGGCAGTGCAGACTTTTGAAATGCAATAATATAATATTATTAACGTATGTGTATCGGCTTCTAAATTAACTGCAGCAGTAGCGTTAACACTATGCCGGATAAAAAATAATATTTTAAATATAAATACATATAGGTGTTATGATGTAGTGATGCGGATGATGTTATGTACAGTAGACTACATTTCTTGTTCGGCCAAATTATCGGCTTGCGATGATCTTGAGCTCTGAAAACAATCAGCAAAGCGTTTGTGCGTTTTATACAACTGTTGTAGTGAGAAAAAATGTTTCAATAGTTTCTAATGGATACACTCCTCTATCAGTCAAGTTAGATTTAGATGTCAAATTGTACGTGAGTGGTTTACCTGTTTCTAATGAATTTAAATACTGTGATGCTTATAGTCGCGAGATAGGTTGGTATGGATACTAGATTTCTAGAAGGGTGACTATAACAGTTGACATTAAGCTTTAATAACTCTGTATAACTATTGCTTATAATATGTATTTGAAGTGATTTCGTTTTCTAGTCCCTCCTTTTTTTATCCCTAATCGGCCACTGGCCACAGTGTCCAACCTTTGTTATCAAGTAGGACTACGTTGGTTTCTTTATAACTAACTTTTAAATCCTCGCCTGTTCTACTTGTAAACAATAATTTGCTGGTTTTCTTTTTTTTTTTTGCTAATACTACACACTCATATTATTGTTATTACCTACATTATTGGTACTAAGACTATAATGCATTTTTACATAGCGACTGTAAGTAAGTATTGGAAATTTACCTGTGATTTAACCGGTGTGCCAGTCGTTTGTTTGATGTAAGTTTTGTCGTCGAATATTTTCACTTCTCCGCCGCCTGGTTTGTGCTTGACGTTGTCCAACGAGCCCACTTTGCTCTGGGCTTTTATTTCTATCTTTTGGTCTTCGATCTGGTCACACACAAGTAATTGAAAAACCAAATGAATGTAATTATAATAAAAAATATTTTTGTAAGAAGTAATAATATTGTCGTGCGCTGTGCACAAGAACATATAATATAGCTTAAACAACACACAAACGGTAGGTAGGATAGGCAAAAACATAAATTTCAAGTACACTTTAGGTACACATTAGGTACCAAAAAAAAACCATCGTTTTGCAATTTGAACCAATAATACTTTGTACACCATTCGGCAATAAAGTACTGATTATTATTTTTTTTTTTTTTGCATATAAGTAATTACCCACTTTGTATTTCAAATTTTGATCATGTCATGTTTTGCCCATCCTGGATAATAGTAGTGTGTAAACAACAATCATATTCCTATAATGTTTTATACATAGTGCCAAAACACGAACTGTGACGGTTATTGTAGGTTTGCATAAAACAGTTTCAAACGTGTGAGCATACAACATAATGTAATAATATGTACATTTAATTATGTTGCGCTTTTGCTATTTAGTACACCTCATTTACTCACGTCGCGTTCCTTTCCAATTACATTTGTAGACTGGCTCTAAAAAAAATTTAATTTTCAAAAAAAAAAAAAGACAATAAAACCAATCCTTTCGAAAAACAACAAACAAATAGGATCGACAAAAAGGGTCGAGGCCATTTATAGGGGTAAAATATATAGTATATATTTTAAATTAGACGTAAAAATATTTTAGTAACCCAAAGCTCGAAATAATTAAATTAAACATGTAGATTTTAGATCATTAACAATGTAGGTTAGGGTATAAATATTAATTAATGTGTGTGTGTGTGTAATTAAATAAAAAAGCCTTGACGTATTCGATACTGTAAATTGTATCAAGTGCGTTATGATATTATCGATACTTAATATATTTATTATATATGTATAATTATTTACAACTTTTATTATCAGAATTAAATTTGTTGGTAATTATCCCCAACAATAAGTGATTTAATGAATTAATCAATGTATCTATCATGTTTAGTACACATTTTTAACAGAGTATTATTTCGGACGTGCATTTCAATGAGAACATGACAAAACTATAGTATAGAATAAGACTAGATGCTCTGTTGCGATATTTAACTAATATATTATGGTATGGATACCCTAGCTATATAGTATACCGTGGTGTTAATACATTTGTATTTATCATTAGTATTACAATCTACATACTATAGGTACTGTAATTACAACTTGGGTTGAGAGTTGAGACTGAAATCCGGATTACAAAAATCCGGATATCCCCATCACTGCGGTTACCACATAATATATTCTATTATGTTTATATAATATGTACATACAAAATAACGATTGATAATATTAACCGTTAAATATATATTTAATTAAGCGTTACAGGTTTTACCTTGACTGCTCCACCGCCAGGCGTGTGTTTAATGTTGTCTTTGGATCCGATTTTCGGTTTTGCTTTGTCTTTGAAGTCCAACTTGACCGTCTCGATTTTCTTGTCACCGCCGCCAGGCTTGTGCGTTTTGTTTTCCAGCGAGCCCACTTTTGGTTTGGCGTTCCATTGCAGCTTAACGCTTTGAATCTAAACAAATACACAGAGTTTAACCAACACTCACATTATAACACATTGTACGGTGTTTTTTCAACAATAGTTGGGATGTAAACATACCTAGGCGACTTAGGTATATTTACATTATTGGACTTAGGCTAAGTCCAAATTTCTCATTTACAAATCTACTGCTAAATATTGATGGCAGACCCGAAATCACCACTTTTTTTTTTTTAAATTAAATATCTGTTTCTACCTTTTTATCGCCTCCTCCCGGAACGTAGGCGTCGTTTTTCGCTTGAATCCTTGTGCCAGCTTTCCATTCGAGTTTTCTGTGCTCGATTTTCACCTGTCCGCCGCCAGGTTTGTAACTGGTGTTTTGTAACGAATCCACTTTCGACCGGACCACTTTGAGGTTCGGAGACGGCGCTGATCCCACTTGTACTTTATTCATCGACAATTCTGAAACACACCGGCAACAATATAATTATCATAATTAGACTCAAAGGCCCGCAAATGTGTGTTTTGCACCGACTTTTTTGTCCGGTTACGCTTTCCGGTGATTTCGGCGTCACTGCTCTGGTGGGCGTTTTCAGTTCCGATTTTTCTTTTTTCGGAATTTTGCTCGGGGACTTGCATACGTCGCCGCCGTCGCTTCTTTGGTTGCCCTGCGAGTACAAGCAAAATTAATATGCTTAATCACCATGTAAATACAACAGCTGTAAGTACGCTTACTTTTGCAATGGACGATTCTTTCAGAGGCTCGTGATCTGTATGGACAAATAAAAAACATATTTTATTTAAAAAAAAAAAAAAACCAGTGTCGATGAGTAAACCTATATTAATTTGAACTATTGTGTGATACTTTTATATATATTATGTAAAACCGTGGCGTGTCAAATGTTTGTGCGTTAAATTCACAAAACTAAGTCTAACACGGTGATAGAGTTGTGCAATTTTCTTTGTCTGTACCTAAAATTTTTTATTGCGCAGTGAACGGATAAATATATTTATAATATACAATTTATTGATATATATATATATGCATATATTCGATTTCTACTTCGTGTATCTAATTTTTATGTAACCGTTTTTAGAGCTTATACATTATATATTCTCTCAAGTACCTTTATTTATTTTTAAAGTGTCGGGTCTTGTGTTTTTATTCTGTTCGATTTGCCGTTCGTCTTTTTCTTTGACGGTAACCGTTTTATTTCGATTGCTAAGCTCGCCCCCCACAGACGGTTCGGTCGCCGGATCTTTGATTTTCTGAGCAATCTCCGTTTTCCGTTCATCTTGCCGTCGGTCGTCATCTTTCCTTTCATTCGGTCTTCGATCATCAGTTTTTCGATCGTCTATCCTGCGATCATCCGTTCTTCGGTCTTCCATTCTTCGGTCGTCCGTTCTTCGGTCTTCTATTCTACGATCGTCCCGTCTTTCCAACGGTCTGTTCGCCGCCTCAGCCGTGTACTTGTCATCCGTATTGCCGATTTCTCTCACGGTCTTCAAGTAAGTCGCTTCGAAATTGGATTTTCTCAGATCTCTGTTCAACTGATCTTTGGGCATGTACGACGACTCGGCCAACGGTTTATCAATGGAAAACCTACGTTCCGGCGCGTAAGACCTTTGGTCAACGTTTCTGGACAATCTGTCCAGCGAAGGCTCCGGTCTCCTGTACTCCGTTCGGATTGTGTCCACCTCTTGTTCCGACGGTCTCCGAAGATCGACGCGTTTAATATCTTCCGGTTCGGGACGCCTGTAGTCCAGTCTCTTGGCTTCCAATTCTTTTTCGGACGGTCTTCGATAATCGGCGCGTTTAAACTCTTCCGGTTCGGGTCGCCTGTATTCCGGCGGTCTCTTCACTTCGAGCTCTTGTACCGACGGTCTCCTAAAGTCAGGGCGTTTAACTTCTTCCGGTTCGGGTCTTCTTACCGGTTCAGCGCGTCTGAGTTCTTCTTGTTCCAACGGTTTTCGATAGTCCGGCCGTTTCACCGTGTCTTGCCTGGTTCCCGGTGATTTTTCGCTGTCCATCGAGTCGTTCCTGCGCATCGCATCAATCCTCGGCTGTTCCAGTACGCTGTCTCTCCGGCCGTACTCTCTGGGTTTCGGACCGTTTTGTTGTATATTCGGCCGCCGTTCATCGTCTTGCCTGTTGTAGTTGACCGTCTGGAATTTTTGTGGTTCCGGCCTTTCGTTGTACCGCTCTTGGACCTCCGGTATGGACGGCCGACCGTACTGTTCGGGCGGCAGAGGGTTGTTCGGATACGATGGCCCTTGCACGGGTCTTGGCCACTGTCTGGCCGGTGGTTGATCGCCGGCCTCCGGTTTACCGGGCAACACCATGGTCGAATCGCGGCGGTTCAACGGTGGCGGCGGCACCGACGACTGTTGACTGGTCACTACGGCTTCGTCGTCGTCATCGCCGCCGCCGCCGCCGACGACGCCTGGTTTCTGTCTAACGTTTTCGGGTGGCGGCGGCGGCGGCCTGTACGTGGGTCTGTCTTCGATGCGGGACAACGTGGGCCGACGTTCTACGGGGGGCGGCGGCGGCCTGTACTGGTCTTGAGCCTGTGGCGGCGGCGGAGGCCTTTGCTGCTGCTGCTGCATGTTGTAGTACGGCGGTCGCTGCAGAGGTGGCGGTGGGCCGCGAACGCCGTCTGCAGGCAACGCTTGTCTCACGAGGTTCCAAGGATTGTTGGCGGCCGCCGGCCTTTGTCCGCTAGGCGGTCTGGGCGGCCCGGGAGGCGGCCTCTGAGCGTTCGGCGGCCCGGGCCGGTTTTGGTTCTGAAACGACTGCGGCGGCGGCTGTGCCTGGTAAGGCCCTTGTTGCTGCTGTTGTGGTTGCGGATAGTAGTCGGGACGGGGCCGCGGGCCAAGTTCGGAAGTCCGTTGTTGTGGCGATTTAGGTAAAGTAGTCGTCTAAAGAAAATATATTTATTTGAAATTCTTATGTTATTTCGAATGCAACGCTCGTGATAATTTGTTTATAATTTTTGTGCAGCTTTATGTATGAGATAATATGCGTGAATACGCTATAAAAAAATAATATACTCATTTGCGATTAAAAGATAAATACTTATCCCTTAGCCCTTTTTTTTTTTAATGCGTCAACTTCTTACCATGTTAAATTGCATTCTCGTGGTAAGACTTCCTCCGGGATCTACCGTGCTATTGCGACGGTTATTGTCCATAACAGTTTATTTTAATTAGTTTTTATTTAATATAAATATATATATATATATATATATTATCATTAATTAATTATTTATACTAGGTTACGCGCGCTTTTTTTAAATATATATATATATATATATTGGTTTATTCGAGTTTAATTATTATTTAAACGCTTTTTTATATAGATTAGATACATCCGGTCCTGGCGGTCGCACCTAAAAATGACAACAGCAATAATAACGACATATTATAATAATTACCTCTATTGCTTGTGTATTGAGTCAACGACACCGTTTAGAATATTAACACGTCAACAACTGTGCATCAATATGACTTTGGTCGAATATAATATACCGTATAAAGTTAAGACATATTAAAAAAACACACCGTTTAATGTAATAGGATATTATAATGCACAAACAAAATGGGGGGAAATCGATTATGGCGTGTGTGTACTTAGGGAGAGTGAGAAAGTAGAAGGGACGCCATCGCTTAGTGGGAAAACTGTCATATTTCACCGGGTTGCACGTCATTCATCGATTTCCGGAATAGCACACTCTATTTATACCGTGGGGGGGGGGGGCAAAGGGGAAGCAGAGGGGAAGTGTAGAGTTTGAACACGAAATCAACCGTTATACCGTTCGTTCAATAGTTTTTTTTAATATCGACTTAAACGTAAGACATTTTGGGAAAACGAGTGAATAAAAAATTAAACGGTCCGGTTAAAACGGCTAAATGTTATTAACAATAAAATAACTACTGGACTGATGAAAACTATGTGAATCGAGAAACTTATCGTTTTAATAAGTGTCTCGGAGCCGAGTACAATAGAATTCTGAATGGGCACAAGACCTAAGAAAGAAGACTTGTTTAGTTAAAGTGTCCGTTCGTTGGAATCCATACGAGGGATTAGCTGTGTAAATTTCGGCTACTGTGTTGTAGTAATACATATTTTGTTATGTTAAACCATTGTAGACTTTTATAAATGACTAACGTGCAGAGGATTATTAGAGAATATTTTCACACACAAGTTTGGATGGACTCGTATAAATTTAAAATAGCTATTAAACGTTTATATTTCAAAGAGTAGGTACACTTTAAATAAGACTAATGTACACATCAGTTAAGGGGATTGCATGCGGTCGGTTTTTTCACTCAAGACGCATAATTTTTATTCCATTGCACATAATGAACCAGTGATCCGATAAGCAATCTAAAAACAGATTCAGATTCGCCATGAAGTTTACTTATGACATTTTATACAATGTTCAAACGTGTTTTATACATAGTAGGAATAAAATATCAAAATAGTACCCTGACCGATCTATAAGTAAACTTCATGACAAATTCAAATCCGTTTTCAGATTACTTATCGGATCACTGGTTCAGCGTGTGCGACGGAACAAAAAATGTACTATTATATTAACTAAAATGGTTTTTACTCATAGACAAAATAATTTGAATTAAAAATAATACCACGAAGCTTATACGAATTAACCGGTAAATTAATTTGACATGATCGAAATTTATTAAAACCACTTTTTCTCTAAGTATTGCCTATACAAAACTCCTTAAAAACCAACCGCATGCAATTCCCTTTAATGATAATCTGAAATGATGAAACAATTATTAAACTACCGGGAACAATAATTAATTGTAAAACATATTTTTTTTACAACACTTGACGTACCTTCTCTTTCTTTCTGTCTGTCTCTCGTGTGAGTATGTGTGTACAACAAACGGTGAACGTGTCGAACAGCCGTAGGTGCCAGTGCTCTACTGAGCTACCCCGCTGTGGCTGTTGCCGCTATAGGTATATGGTGGGCTTTTCCACTATAGTACTGCTACTACTATTTTACTACTACTACTGCTTATATGTTGTTTTACATAAATATATAATAATATATATTATATATATAGGTACACAGCCGAGTAGTACACGGCCCAAAAAGTTCGGCGTGATCAGAATTCGCGTGCACACACAAGCGCCAATCAAAACACTATTCGGTATAGACACGACACGAACACGGTTCCCGGTTTTTCCCACGGGGGGGGGGGGTCTTTGGTGTTTTTTTTTTTAAGTGCACGACAAAGGGGGGGGACGATGAGTCCTGCGCTGTTACCTCTGTGCGCGCGGTATATACCGATTTTGTATAGGTGTATTAGTAGAACACACAGCCAATAAAAATACTGCCCCCCCCCTTCTCCTTCTCACCCCCCGGTCGTACCACCCCGTCAACCCTTTCGCCGTCAATATTGTACCATAACGTGGCTCTTGTATTTGTATTCGAACCAAACCTTGTACATAATTATATATAATCGACGCTTGCGTTGTAGGCGAGCAACTTGGAAAAAATTGTTTTCAATATGTACCACACACACACTCACGAGATAGACGGTTACGTTCAATAAAAGTCAGTCGCGGGTTTAGAAATAAAATATAAGATATAAGGAGAAGCTAAATCTTTATCAATTAGCATAAGCATTAACATACAGATTTCGCCAAGAGTTTTAAATTTTGCGAGCAGCTTCAACGACCGGAGTGTGGGTTAAGGGTGTATGGCTAAATAATAAATATCGCATTTTATTTAAAAAAAGTAAGGGGGGGGCTGATACACTTGGCTCCTCCTGTACTGTGCGTTATCTCTTTGTTTAGTATGAGAAAATGTTCCAGTGTTAGAGTTTGTTATCTGTTATATTGGATGCTTTTAGATGATATGCTTTTGCCAAACGACAGACCACAACCATAATAATTGTTATTTAGCCCTTTTCCCGTTAGAAATGATGGGATTTGTTTCTAAGTAGTATTTTTTTTTTTTTTAGTAATTTTTGAATTTCACACATAAATAACAAATTCTTCCTCGTTTCGATAAGTATGTTAAGGCCTAAAATGCCGACAATGGCGTTCTAGTTTAACTGACAACGAGGATTGTTTTTTGTATTTTTTTAATAATAATAAAAAAAAAAACAACAACAACTATAAAGTGAAGGCGCTGCCTAGGTAATAAAATATTGACATGCAATCCTGTAATAACGGCGTAATCTCCTGTTTAGCAAAATATATCCACCACCGCCGCCATCTCTCTGCCCTTCGTGCACTGTATTATTATTAAAGCTTGCGAAGGAAGAATATATGCAACGAATATACACAGGCGATATTAGTAATAATAATAACAACAACAATAAATTGAATTTTACTACACAGGAGACTTTCATTATACACGGCCAGGTGGATTCGTTCCATTTTCCAACTAGGTAATAATAATAAGAAGAACAACGACAAACAAAACTTGGTCGGTTGATTGTAGAATACTCTGCGGGTTGTCTCTCAATACACCTTAGAGCATTGGTGCGAAAATAGCAGTGGGTTCAAAAGTCAATAATTTTGAGAAAAAAAACACACACGCACATAAAACTAGTTTATTTGAACTCGGAGATAGTTCTAATGTCTCTAATCCGGTTAGGTTATGTTTTCCAGCAGGCGACGACTTTTTTGAGTTATAACTTCAAATGTGTCAAATCAAAAACGTTGTATTAAAATCATATTATTATTGTATCTATGCATCGTTTCAGCGGCCGTTAATACTTGACGAGTCGACGCTGAACCAAATCAAAATAACTGTACTTGAAAATATTGCACGCAAGTATCTCGAGTCTTGACAGATTTTTTTTGTTTGTTTGCAATCAAACCGTCGGTCGAGTTGTTTGAAAACGCATCCGCTTCGAATGGAAACACGTGGCCGTCCATGGAAAAATCAGATTAGCTCTTGCCATTCATTTCTTCTGTACCTACTTGGTGTTGAACGCGGTTCGTGACTCTGCGAGAAGTCTTGTACTCGATTTAAGTTCGTTGCACGTCGTTTCGAATAATACATACAAAAAGGGTTTACGGTGCAAGTACACCTAAATTGCAGTGTATAGCTATATATAGCTATATTAGCTTGCAAGTTTGGTCCGATCGTGTCCAACACTAGCCTACACTTGCACACGTCTTACTGTGTGCACACCTTTAAGGACTTACCTAAGTTATTTATATAAGTTATTGCTGCACTCACCGTTCGACCAAGTACATGGTCTGTTCGAGTTTCCGTTTACAGCTACTGGCGAGATCACTTTCTCGAACTGCAACGTCGACACTTGTTCGGTAATTTGTTGCCCGTAACTTTTTGCGGGACTGGCATTTTCTAAAAAAAAAAAAAAAAAAACCGTTTAAATACACAACGCTTGCGGGTTAACAAACGGCTGGTCACAACAAGTTGATGTTCGGCTCGAGTACAACAGCCATGAAATTGACCAACACGCACATTGAGACGTTACTACAACAATGATAATAATCGCTCGTCAAGTACGTTTTGTAGTCGTGCGAACTTTGCACAGAGTTCGCCGAGAACGAAAGTGTGTCTTAGCGCGTTTCCCACTCGGGTTATTAACAAGTTCCCAACCGAATAATAATCAAATACGGGTGGGACACAATATTAATGTTCGTGTATAGAAGTATGTACCTACCTTATGTACTGTATACGATAGGACGGGAGTGAACGAAACGCTTAAGTGCGTACAATTTTATATACATACATTTTTTTTTTTATGTGTACAAAACAAAAACAGAAAAGTTAAGCGTTAATTGTCCACTGGCACGGTACTCGTATAATGACTCGGGACAGGATACAACTAGTTAAACGAGAAACATGCATTGTTGTTGTTGTGTGTATATATATATGTATATATATATTTTTTTTAATTTACACCGCTATGTTCTCTACGTGTTACGTTACCATCAGTGAAAACAAACACACACACACACACCGGTTAAGTTGGACGTGCCGCACATGCGAATCGTTTTAACTTGTTGAAGCCAACGTTGCGTTGTGTGTACGACACCAATGTACAAAACACATCTAAGCCATCTCAGTCCAAAAAAACCTAGTTATTTTCAAAGCTCCACGAAAAAACATATTATTTTAATCGTGGAAATGTTATCTGTTATCAATCATATATTGTCTCTTATCTCTTAACACTTATCGCTTATCTCCTATCACTTCTAATCTCTTATCTCTTATCTCTTATCTCTAACTGAAAAATAAAATGTAACGTGAAAATGGCGTCATAAAACATATCCACGTTAAAAATCGATAGCTTAGGTCATTTTTGGACCGACGCGATACACTTGTACCTGGAAATTAACATCTCGCTCCCCTCCCAATATTTGTCAGTCATCTATACTTAAATAATATCGACTAGTTGAAATTATTAATAAAATAACGCGGTAAAACGGTCAAATTACAATTATTATTATTTAAATTTACATAGATTTTTTCGTTTATATTCAATTCTTGATGGGAATTATGAACCACATTTTGTTTTTTCATATTAGATTATCGCTTAGTTAGGGTGTAAGGTATCCTTTATCTATTATGAATTTACTATTAAAAAAATATAACACCCTTGTACGATATTGAAAACAACCGAATATTTTACTTTAAAGCGTGTATACCTTACACCTTAACTAACTGATAATCTAATATAAAAAAAAAAAATGTGTTTTCATAATTCCTATCAAGCATAGAACATGAACGAAAAAAAAAATAGTACGGAATAAATATTTTAAATTTATAATAATCAAATTAGCATCAAAGCGTTTATTTGAAAGGCATTTCATCCGAAAGGACTAGTACAGTAGGGTGGGGGCATAATGGAATCAAAGCATAGCATAAAGGGAACGGAGTGGTTTACAGGTCTACAGAACTTATTTTTGATAAAAATATTAAAAACGAGTAAAAATGTTTTCTTTATTTTGGATTTTTAAGTGTAGTAAAGCACAAAAGTCGGAAAATAAATTTTAAAACAACATCTGCTGTGACCCTATTACAATAACCTGGTTTGATCAGTAAACAATACCGACCAACTATTGTACACATACATGTGTAATATCATGTTTTTCAAATCGCGTTATAACGACAATACTAAAATCTAAAGAATTTTTTTTATATATGAAATATGATTATATATTATATATTATTAAATTAATATAGGTTTAATTAGGAAAAAACAATACTATATATTATTACAGTTTATTTTTATAAAACCTTAATAATTTTCATTAGAAACTTCTAAAACTGAAGTAAGAATATAAGGAAGCATTTCCAGTATCGTTATATAACTGGAGAATTGTTTTTTTCTAATAAAATCTATAATAATTTTACTATATAGTAATATTTTAGGTATAAAGCAATAATATCATAAGTTTTATAAAGGTTATAATGTGATTTGAAAAACATGATTTTACTCATACACACAACAGTTGGTCGGCAATGTTTACAGATCGAACCATAATATGTTGTTTTTAATATCGTAAAACAGTTTTATATTACATCAACTGAAAAATTTGTGCTGCAAATTTATTAAAGATAAAATCTATTATAATGTATATAATATTAAAGGAATCAAGATTTGAGTCATCTCGTATAATATAATAAACTATTGTGGTTTGTTCTATAAAAGTCTTAATTGAAAAAAGAATTTTTTTTTATATATGAAATATGATTATATATTAATAAAATTAATATAGGTTTAATTAGGAAAAAACAATACTATATATTATATATTACGATACTAAGAATGCTTCTGTATAATCTCACAGCTTACTTCAGTTAACTAGTACTATAATTAATAATTATAGTTAATTAAAAAATTATCAAGCATAATTAATTTACCCAACATTCAATATACACATAATAATAAGTATTATTCAAAGAAATTGATAGGCTAAGAAGCACTTTCTATAATATGCGTTCCAAGACATATAAAATTACTTTAAAATTGTATAAAACCAGTTTATTTTTATAAAACCTTAATAATTTTTATTAGAAACTCCTAAGAACTGAAGTAAGAATATAAGGAAGCATTCCTAGTATCGTTATATAACTAGAGAATGGTTTTTTTCTAATAAAATCTATAATAATTTTAGGTATAAAGCAATAATACCATAGGTTTTATAAATGTTATAATGTGATTTGACTCATATACACAATAGTTGATCAGTAATGTTTACAGATCGAACCATGTGGTTTTAATATGTTATTTTTAAAAAACTCCAACATATAACCATCTATATGTTTTTGTGAATCCGTGTTTCGAATGACTCACTTCTAGTTCGATTATGTATTCAAATGTTTATAAATATTTTCTGAGGAATAAGGAAAAACAAAAAAACAACTTACCAAACATTGTAGTTTTTAGTATTTACAAAACACTACGCAGCTTATTAAAAAGACAAAAATTGTAGGTACCTACTACTAGTATTCCAGTTACTTCCAAAGGCAAACGACAGTCATTGTTCATATAAAGTAAAAATGCGTTTTTTGTACGTTGTATTGTTGCTCGTAGCAGTTCTAACAAAGTTGTCAGGTATTTAAATATATTTAAATTTTGGAATTTCGTATAAATATTAACCACTTAAATATAACAAAATCCTTTTGTTTTTCAGTGGCACCTGGGTCAGATAAGAATAAAAGATGTAAGTTATTTTGGTTTACTAAAAAAATCATACAAATTTCTTCAAATCATATACTTGAGTAATTTGTAGAATATTTATATTTTTGAACGAATTATTAATTAGACATTTTTGAACCATAAAAACCGATTATAGTATTTATAATAAGAAGAATATTAATAAAGTTTTTTATAAATATTAACCACCAAAATATAACAATTTATAATTTCATTACTCACCATTACCTTTTTTTTTACAGATTCACTACCAACACCACCAGCGGGTAAGGTATTTTGGGTTACACTCAAATCTCATAGGGTTTAATAAGAAATTTAATTTTGTTTTTCATGTTGTTTTTATACAATGTGATCTCAATTTTTCAAATTTTATTTTGGTTTTATCCCTCCCGCCCTCCATTTTAGTGTTTTTGATAACAACTTTTGCAACCTAAATGGTACCGCATATATTTCATTACCTCTTTAAATTTAGAATAATGTAGCACATGTAAACAACAAATAAATTACCTGAATTCATCTATAAAACCTATTGGACCTATTCATCTATATTTTTTATAAATACTTAATTTTACTCATATACACCATAATTTCGGTAATGATTATACAGATATGTATTCAACTGTTGATGAATATTGTACGAGGAATTTGTACAAACAAAAAACTACATACAAAACATGTAGTTTTTAGTATTTACAAAACACTAAGCAGCTAATATAAGAAGAAAAAAATTGTAGGTACTTAATAGTATTCCAGTTACTTCCAAAGGCAAACGACAGTCCTTTTTCATATATAGTAAAAATGCGTTTTTTGTACGTTGTATTGTTGCTCTAGCAGTTCTAACAAAGTTCTCGGGTATTTAAATTTTGGAATTTCGTATAAATATTAACCACTTAAGTATAACAAAATTATTTTGTTTTACAGTGGCAACCTCGGAGCCTGATAGATATGGTAAGTTGTTTTCTTTGTTTATTAAAAAAAACATACAAATCATTCTAAAGCGTTCACTGAGTAATTTAAAAGTATATTATTTTTGAAAGAACTATTAATAAGATATTAATTTTTTAAACCTAAAAAAATGTTTACAGCATTTATAATACGTGTACCTATGTACAAGTTATGTCTCATCATTAAAGTTTACAAGGTCTCATCATAATAGGTCTCATCATAAAGATCATACAGCTAGAACCATAATTTTGATAGCTACTGTACAAGTATCTCGAATGTACACATAACTCAAATTCATATTTCTAGAATTTTGTAAAAATATTAACCACCTAAACATAACAAAATCCTTTTGTTTTTCAGCGTCAGATGGGTCTTGGGTAAATGGAGCACAAGTAAGTTATTTTCATTGTTTTTCTAAAAAATAAGCATAAAAATCTTTTCAAAGCATACACTTTGAGTAATTTTATAGAATATAATTTTTTAACGAATTATCAATTGGGTATATATTATTAACCATAAATAACCGATTAGAGTATTTATAATATGAACAATATTAATGCCTCGTCCTTAAGTATACAGTAGTCTGGTGAACAAAGTCGATTTAGTCATAATGATTTTCTTTATTTGCATATTTAAGATGACTTTTAAAGATCGCCAACAATAATACTTACTAAAATGCATTTTTTGTACATTATTGTGGTGCTAGTAGCAATGTTAACGCACTCGGGTGTATATAAATAACAATACTTTTTGAAATTTTTTATAAATACTAGTCACCAAAATATAACAATTTTATTACTCACCACTACCTTTTTTTTTACAGCTGCGTATAAACTACCAACACCACCACAGAGTAAGTTATTTTCTTTGTTTTACTAAAAAAACATAAAAATCAGTTTTGATTTGTTAGATACCAATAAAACTATAAGAGTTTAAATGAAGGGTACAGGGAAAAAAACAGCAAATTCACTTTTTTCTAACCTTAAAAAAACATGTTTAAGTAATGCTAAAATATGTTTTAAATGTTAAAGAAATACTTAAAACTCTTAAAAATATTGCATATTTTTTTTTTAACCGTGCTTAAAAGTAAAGAACTGATTCGTTTTGTATCAAAACGAATTTTATTACAAAAAATTGCAATTTTTTAAAAGTGAATTTGCTGTTTTTTCCCTGTATTCTTCAAACAACAATTATTTTTGGAATTTTGTATGAATATTAACCACAGAAGTATAAGCATTTATATATTTCATTACTCAGTTCTACTCATTTTTTTGCTTTCCAAAGCATACACTGAGAAATTTGTACATTTGGGAATTATGTATAAAAATTAATCAACTAAGTATTACAAAATCCTTTTAGATTATACAAGTTCTTACCATAATTGGTCGGTAATATCATACAGTTCTAGCATAATTTTGTTTCCGAAATTATACAAGTGTACACATAACTCGAATTTCATAGTTCTAGAATGTTTTATAAATATTAACCACCTAAGTATATCAATTTATAACTTCATTACTCGCACTACCTTTATTTTACATTTTCTGAATGAACTTACAGACTTAACAAGTCAATTTGGTAATTATAATGATTTTCTTTATTTGCATATTTAAGATGACTTTTTAGGATCGCCAACAATAATACCTACTAAAATACATTATTTGTAAATTGTTATGGTGCTAGTAGCAATGTTAAAGCACTCGGGTATATATAAATAACAATAATTTTTGAAATTTTTAATAAATACTAGCCAAAATATAACAATTTATAATTTCATTACTCACCACTACCTCTTTTTTTAAAGCTTCTAATCCACCACCTATACCAGCACCACCAGCGCGTAAGTTTTTTTCATTGTTTTACTAAAAAAAAACATAAAAATCTTTCCAAAGCATACTTTTGAGTAATTTGGAAGACTATTGTTTTTGAACAAACTATTATAAGGTACACCTTATTTAACCTAAATAAATATTTCCAGCATTTACAACCGTTTAACAAAATTATCTTCACTACTTAACTTTAAATTATTTTTACTGGATACTAATCATACAGTTTATCCTTACCAACAAAACGAGAGTTAATAACTTACTACAAGTTTACACTGTATACTATAATGTACAACAGAAGGAACCTAAGTATTTATGTATATATTTTTTTTAATTACAGAATTTTGAAGACGATAACAGTATAAGCAACACCAGCCACGCAATAGCCGAATAGTCAGACTATATGTCACTATTTATTAAATAAATATTATATAAAGCATAATCTTAATTCTTTTAAAAATAGTGCTTCACGCAATATATGTACACTTTTATTAGAATAAAATTTAATTAAAAACTGTGTCCATACAAATAACTAATAAATCTTTTAACTACAAATAAAAAAAAAAAGTTTTTTTTTTTAATTAACCGAATCTAACCTAACCATATTGCAAAATGAAAATTATTAATTAAAGGAAATAAATGATTTTTGAGCTTAAGAGGACGTCATACCTTTTAAAAATAACCGTAAAGAGGTGTTTATGGAAAAGAGTGTAGTTCAAAGCGAAATGGTCATAGAAAACATATTTTTATATCATTGAAAAGAAAATAACTTTATCTAGATTTGCTCGTCGGATTTTTTGAGAAAACATAAATTCTATTTTTATTTACATGCGGTAAAAAAAGTAAATTAATATCTTAATTAAAATATTAATTATGATAATTGTGTAGATAATATAAAAAAAAAATCGACGGAAGAACCTAGAATAAGTTTTCATTATTTTAATTTTGTAAAAAAAAATTGTCTACTATTATTATTTAGCCTATAATAGTGAATAATATGCGTGGTTATGTTTAGATGACATATTTTCTTTGACTTTAACTTTATTCGGACCCAACGCGGCTTATTGTGCTTGCTGCACATATAAAGTACATCATGAACAATTTACATTGCACGCACACGTCATGTATACATCCTTTACCTTGAAAACTATTTACAAAATTGTCTGTGACAGCGTTTTCGACACAAATGATGTTTCCAATAATAAGTAAAAAAATAAATTCAAAGCCTTGAAACGTTTTTTAACGGCATGGCCAACCGAAATTTTCGGTGAAATTACAACAATAGATTGGTTTATACCTAAACCAATCTATTGTTGTACTAACCGAGTCGTATATTGATCGGCAAAGTTTGCTAAATTACCACTTTACCTAAAGCTAAATATTTAATTCGTTTAGCTGCAGGTATCCAAGTTACTAGAAAATAAAACAGCCAACTTACAAAGTAATTGTATAACACATTCTAAGTTGCAAACGCCATTGGTGTTGAACTGATCTGACCTCTTGCTATACCTTTACTCTACTGGCACCTACATGTTATGCTAACTGCTACTTTTGCGCCAGATTGTGAAAATAGACATTAGTGTCATGCGATAGCCTGCGGTCAACGGGTCAATCGACCCAAGTTAAATATTAACATGCCCCGTGGGTGTAAATTATTAATGTTATGTTATCCTCAACGTCTAATGAAAGCGTTATTCAATTTAGTTAGGTGTTAAATACTTAAATTATTTGAATGCAAACACAAATTTAGCACAATATGTGGACAATGGAGTAATAAATTAATCCTAGGGTAAGTCACGAAGGCTTTTTTTAAAAATCAAATAATTAATTTACGGAGCATACAAATCAATTATTTTAGAAACCATAAAATTAAGTACAAGAATTCTAGTTATCAAATATATATAGAAATATCAAACCTCAAGTTTTTACTACTTAATTTATTTATTTTGTCTTTTTATAATGTATCATTGTATATTTTATTCGGAATTTTATTCCTCAACTACATTTATTCGCAAAATAGTAACTCGATGAATAAAATTTTAGTTGAAAACCGGGCCTAAATTAAAATTATTTTTTTCGTATTATCTATTTTTTCGTTATATTCTATTATTGATGGGAATTATGAAACCCATTTTGTTTTTTTCATATTAAATTACCGCTTAGTTAAGGTGTAAGGTATGCTTTAGATAAAGCATACCTTATAAATACCTGATAAATTTACTATTAAAAAAATATATAACACCATTGTACGATATTGAAAACAACATATTATGGTTCGATCTGTAAACATTACCCGCCAACTGTTGTGTATATCAGTAAAATCGTATATAGCCTATAAATAAAAAAACCAAACCGATTATTTTTTTTTAAAGCGTGTATACCTTACACCTTAAATAACCGATAAGCAAATATGAAAAAAACAAAATGGGTTTTCATAATTCCCTTCAAAAATATAATCAATATATAAATTAATTTTTATAATACCAATTTATAAAAATATAAACGAAAAAAAAAAATATATAGAATACAAATTTTTAATTTTTAATAAATAAATGAAAATATTATTATATGTTTTATGTTTCATTTTTTAACACAATGTTAATAGGCCCTTTTGATCACTAAGCCCTATTAAATAACCCTAAAAAATGATAAAAACGAGTAAAAATGTTTTCTTTATTTTGGTATTTTAAGTGTAGTCAAGCACAAAAGTCGGAAAATAAATTTTAAAACAACATCTGCTGTGACCCTATTACAATAACCGGATTCGATAAGTAAACAATACCGACCAACTATTGTATAAATGTGTAATATCATGTTTTTCAAATCGCGTTATAACGATAACACTAAAATCTTAATTATTTTTTTTTTATACATAAAATATGGTTAGTATATGTTAATAAAATTATTATAGATTTTTTAGGAAAAAACAACACACCGATATTAAGATATATATTCGTATGGCGTATTTGACCGGGAGGGCTATAGCTAACTTATGCCTGTTAGGTCGCCTGAGGGTGCGTGGCTTTTCTGCCATGCTTATCGGGAGTTGATGGTGTGGGTCGCCGCTAAAAATCCGGGTGGTCACTCATCCGGGTTCAAGCAGCAACGGCCACAGCTTAACCTCAAGTGTCAGTTATAAATACTCCGATTATATAGCGATACTAGGAATGCCTCTGTATAATCTTACAGCTTACTTCAGTAAACTAGTACTCAAATTAATAATAATGGTTAATTAAAAAATGATCAAGCATGATTATTTGACCCAACCTTCAACAAACACATAATAATAGGTATTATTCAAAGAAATTGAAGGGCTAAGCACTTCCCAGAATATGCGTTCCAAGAATATAAATTAATTTTAAAATTGTACAAAACCAGTTTATTTTTATAAAACCTTAATAATTTTCATTAGAAACTTCTAAAACTGAAGTAAGAATATAAGGAAACATTCCTAGTATCGTATTATAACTGGAGAATTGTTTTTTTCTAATAAAATCTATAATAATTTTACTATATAGTAATATTTTAGGTATAAAGCAATAATATCATAGTTTTTATAAAGGTTATAATGTGATTTGAAAAACATGATTTTACTCATATACACAACAGTTGGTCGGCAATGTTTACAGATCGAACCATAATATGTTGTTTTTAATATCGTACAACAGTTTTATATTATATTAACTGAAAAATTTGTGTTGCAAATTTATTAAAGATAGAATGCATAATATATTTTAAAGGAATCAAGATTTGAGTCATCTCGTATAATATAATAAACTTTGTGGTTTGTTCTTTTAAAGTCTTAATTGAAAACCTATACCCTTCCTCCGTTTAAAAATTTACATAAAATATTTTTCAACTTCAATTGTTTTTTTCAGTATTGTTTTTTGTACCATGATTATTTTTAGACATCTGTTTCTTAGTATGTTATTTTTTCAAATCTTCAATATATTACCGTTTACCATCTATATTTTTTTGTAAATCTGTGTTTCGAATAACGCACTTCTAGTTCGATTATGTATTCAAAAGTTGATGAATATTTTCTGTGCAATTTGTACAAACAAAATCCAACTAAACAAAACATGTATTTTTTAGTATTCACAAAACACTAAGCAGCTAATATAAGAAGAAAAAAATAGTAGGTACCCATTAGTTTTTCATTTACTTCCAAAGTCAAACGACAGTCATTTATCATATATTGTAAAAATGCGTTTCTTGTACATTGTCATATTGCTCGTAGCAATTCTAACAAAGTTGTCAGGTATTTAAATAAATATAATTTTTGAAATTTCGTAAAAATATTAACCACCTAAATATAAAAAAATCCTTTTGTTTTTCAGTGGCACCTGGGTCAGATAAGAATAAAAGATGTAAGTTATTTTGGTTTACTAAAAAAATCATACAAATTTCTTCAAATCATATACATTTTGTAGAATATTTATATATTTGAACGAATTATTAATTAGACATTTTTGAACCATAAAAACCGATTATAGTATTTATAATAAGAAGAATATTAATAAAGTTTTTTATAAATATTAACCACCAAAATATAACAATTTATAATTTCATTACTCACCATTACCTTTTTTTTTTACAGATCCACTACCAACACCACCAGCGGGTAAGGTATTTTGGGTTACACTCAAATCTCATAGGGTTTAATAAGAAATTTAATTTTGTTTTTCATGTTGTTTTTATACAATGTGATCTCAATTTTTCAAATTTTATTTTGGTTTTATCCCTCCCGCCCTCCATTTTAGTGTTTTTGATAACAACTTTTGCAACCTAAATGGTACCGCATATATTTCATTACCTCTTTAAATTTAGAATAATGTAGCACATGTAAACAACAAATAAATTACCTGAATTCATCTATAAAACCTATTGGACCTATTCATCTATATTTTTTATAAATACTTAATTTTACTCATATACACCATAATTTCGGTAATGATTATACAGATATGTATTCAACTGTTGATGAATATTGTACGAGGAATTTGTACAAACAAAAAACTACATACAAAACATGTAGTTTTTAGTATTTACAAAACACTAAGCAGCTAATATAAGAAGAAAAAAATTGTAGGTACTTAATAGTATTCCAGTTACTTCCAAAGGCAAACGACAGTCCTTTTTCATATATAGTAAAAATGCGTTTTTTGTACGTTGTATTGTTGCTCTAGCAGTTCTAACAAAGTTCTCGGGTATTTAAATATATTTAAATTTTGGAATTTCGTATAAATATTAACCACTTAAGTATAACAAAATTATTTTGTTTTTCAGTGGCACCTGAGCCTGATAGATATGGTAAGTTGTTTTCTTTGTTTATTAAAAAAAACATACAAATCATTCTAAAGCGTTCACTGAGTAATTTAAAAGTATATTATTTTTGAAAGAACAATTAATAAGATACTCATTTTTAGACCTAAAAAATGATGCAGCATTTATAATAGATGTTCGTACAAGTTATGTCTCATCATTAGAGTTTACAAGGTCTCATCATAATTGGTGTATTCATAACTCGAATTTCATAGTTCTAGAATTTTGTATAAATATTAACCACTTAAATATAACAAAATTCTTTTGTTTTTCAGAGTCAGATGGGTCTTGGGCAAAAGGAAGAAGTAAGTTTTTTGTTTTACTAAAAGAATCATACAAATATTTTCAAAGCATACATTTGAGTAATTTTATAGAATATTATTTTTGAACGAATTATCAATTAGGTATTTATAATTAGTATTTATAATAAAAATAATATTAATGCTTCGTCGTTTAGTATACAGTAGTCCGGTGAACAAAGTCGATTTAGTCATAATGATTTTCTTTATTTGCATATTTAAGATGACTTTTTAAGATCGCCAACAATAATTCTTACTAAAATGCATTTTTTGTACATTATTGTGGTGCTAGTAGCATTGTTAACGCACTCGGGTGTATATAAAAAACAATAATTTTTGAAATTTTTTATAAATACTAGCCACCAAAATATAGCGATTTCATTACTCACCACTACCTTTTTTTTTACAGCTGCGTATGAACTAAAAGAACCACCACCGGGTAAGTTATTTTCATTGTTTTACTAAAAAAAACATATAAATCAGTTGATTGAAGGGTACAGGGAAAAAAACGGCAAATTTCCTTTTTTCTAATCTAAAATTATAAATATTTATGTATGTTGCGGTAAAGAAGTCCTCTATAAAAATACATCTTGACTTTTTTTCTTGGTTTTCTTAAACAAAGCATACAAATCTTTTAAATATAAACTACAAATTATCAATAGAACACATTTTTTAAATTTAAATAAGTGTTTAATACTTGATTATATAATGGTTTGGTGAACAAAATCAATTGATAAATAGTCGTTATAATAATTTCTTTTAGCTGCATATTTATGATCAGTTGTGTTTTTTTTTTAAATGTTGCGTGATGTTACTGCCTTTAAAATGTTGACAAGGAGATAACTAGTTTTGCATCCTTAGATACTAGTGATTATAAAATACAAATAATTAGAGTTTAAATAACAGCCATTTTTGGAATTTTGTATAAATATTAACCACAGAAATATAAGCATTTATAATTTCATTACTCAGTACTAATCATTTTTTTTCCAGATGCTGTAAGGGACCCAAGTGAGTTATTTTCATTGTTAAACACCAAAAATAAGTCTACGACGCTTTCCAAAGCATAAACTGAGTAATTTGTACATATTTGGAATTTTGTATCAATATTAATCACCGAAATATAAGCACTTATAATTTCATTACTCAACACTATCCATTTTTTTTCCAGCGGCTCAAGTGACACCATGTAAGTAATTTTCATTAGTTAACACTAAAAATAAGCATACAAATCTTCCCAAAGCATACAATGAGTAATTTGTACATATGGGAATTATGTTTAAATATTAACCAACTATGTATTACAATATCCTTTTAGAGTATACACGGTCTAACCATAATTGATCGGTAATGATCATACAGCTAAAACCATCATTTTGTTTCCGATATTGTACAAGTGTACACATAACTCAAATTTCATAGTTCTAGAATTTTTTTATAAATATTAACCACTTAATAAATATATCAAAATTTTTTTGTTGTTCAGGGTCAGATGGATCCTGGTCACAAGAAAGACGTAATTTTTTTGTTTTACTAAAAAAATCCTATAAATATTTCCAAAGCATTTACTTGAGTAATTTTATACAATATTATTTTCGAACGAATTATCAATTGGGTGTATATTTTTAACCATAAAATACCGTTTAAAGTATTTACTACATGAACAATATTAATGCCTCACCTTAAGTATACAGTAGTCTGGTAACACAAAGTCGATTAAGTCATTATAATGATTTTCTTTATTTACAAATTTAAGATCACTTTTATTTATTAACAAATGTTACGTGGTGTTTAAGAATTAACAGTTTCAGCAATCGGGTGTATATTAATAACAATAATTTTTTGAAATATATTGTCTAAAATGCGTTTTTGAAAAAAATGTTTCATAAATATTAACCACCAAAATATAACCATTTATAATTTGAATAATAACTAATAGCATTTTGTTTTACAGCTGCGTATCAACTACCAGAGTGTGAGTTATTTTCATTGTTTTAGTAAAAAAAACCAAAAAAAGTCTTTCCAAAGCATACACTGAGTAATTTGAAAGAATATTATTTTTTAACGAACTATTAGTAAGGTACGAAGCCGGGTATACGAGCAGCTAGTATATATATATTATTTTTTTTCAATATTAGATCACAAAAAGTCATCCAAAATAGCACATCCACTACCAACTCTGGAACAAGGACAAGGTTAGAATATGTTATTAGACTTAGAGTTAACCTATACTTTTGACAAATTATGTTGACTTATGCACTTCAAGTTATTGTTACTGATTATAAATTATACAGTTTATCCTTGCCAACAAAACGAGAGTTAATAACTTACTACAAATTTACCCTGTACACTGGAATGTACAACAGAATGATCCTAAGTAGATATTCATATATTTTTTTTAAATTGCAGAATTTTCAAGAAGAAAACAGTATTAGCAACACCAGCCGCGCAATTGCCGAACAGTCAGATTATGTATAAAGCATAATCTTAATTCTTTTAAAAATAGCGCTTCACGCAATATATGTACACATTTATTAGAATTAAATAAAATAATAAACTTACTGTGTCCATGCAAATAATTAATAAATCATTCAACTATAAACAAAAAAAAAACAGAGTATTTTTTTTAATTAACATAACCTAGCCTAACCATATTGCAAAATAAAAATTATTTTTTAAGGAAAATAAATGATTTTTTGAGCTTAAGAGTAAGATTAATCGTAAAGATTTGTTTATGGAAAAGAGTGTAGTTCAAAGCGAAATGGTCATAGAAAACATATTTTTATATCGTTAAAAAGAAAAGATAAAACATAAATTATATTTTAATTATACGAGTTTAAAAAAGTAAAATAAAATGTCTGACTAAAATCGTCGACTGGTTACATTTACCAAATTAATTAGATGGGTAAACACATTTTGCACACAAGTTGCAAACGCCATTGGTGCTGAACTGATCTGACCTATTGCTATACCGATACTCAACTGGAACCTACATGTTATGCTAAATGCAGGCTTGTTTTAATATTTAAATAATTATTCTAGAAACCATAAAATTATATACAAGCATTCTAGTTATAATGTAAAAAAACAGTTACCCAGCATTCAAAAATCAAGGGACAATGTAAAAAGAAATATCAAACCTCAAGTTTTTACTACTTAATTAATTTATTTTTTCTTTCTATAATGTTTCATTGTTTATTTTATTCCTCAACTAAATTTATTTTCGAATTAGTAATTCGATGAATAAACTTTTAGTTGAAAAACCGGGCCTAAATTAAAAATATTTTTTCCGTATTATCTATTTTTTCGTTTCTATTCTATTCTTGATGAATACTATTAAAAAAAATTTGGTATTTTTCATATAAGATCATCGCTTAGATAAGGAGTAAAGGTATCTATAACAAATTTGAACATATTTTTCGGTTAAAAAAAATATAACACTATTGTACAATATTAAAAACAACATATTATAGTTCGATCTGTAAACATTACCGGCAAACTGCTGTGTATATGAGTAAAATACCTTACACCTTAACTAACTGATAATCTAACATGAAAAAAACAAAATGTGTTTTCATAATTCCCATCAAGAGTAGAATAAAAAAAATAATACGGAATAAATATTTAAAATGTTTGATAAATAAATGAAAATATCATTCTATGTTTAATGTTTCATTTTTTAACCCAATGATAATAGGCCCTTTGGATCACTAAGCCCTAATTAATAGGGCATAGTGATGACAAGGAGGTCACAGGTTTTAAAGAATTATTACAACTGAAAGTGATAAAATCACTATCGAAAAAACGCTTCGATGCAAATCGGTAGTTAGTATTTTCAAACCAGTATAGTCCAAAACAAGCACAGTATACACCAACAGAATGAGGGGCAGTGTTTATAAATTAGCATCCAAGTGTTTATTAGAAAGGCATTTCATCGAACAGGACTAGTACAGTAGGGTGGGGGCATAATGGAATCAAAGCATAAAGGTGACGGAGAGATGACCGGTCTATAGAAATTATTTTTAATAAAAAGAATAAAAACGATTAAAAATGTTTTCTTTATTTTTGTATTTTAAGTGTAGTAAAGCACAAAAGTCGGAAAATGAATTTTAAAAGAACATATGCTATGACTCTATTACAATAACCTGGTTCGATCAGTAAACAATACCGACCAACTGTTGTATACATACATGTGTAATATCATGTTTTTCAAATCGCGTTACAACGATAATACTAAAATCTAAAGTATTTTTTTTTATACTTAAAATATTATTTGTATATATTAATAAAATTAAAATAGATTTTATTAGGAAAAAACAACACTTCAATTATATCACGATACTAGGAATGCTTCCGTATAAGCTCACTTTGTTCTTAGAAGTTTTTAATAAAAATTATTAAGGTTTCTTTAAAAATAATTCGGTTTTATACAAATTAAAATTGCGAGTCAAGCATTAATTTGTAGTTTATATGATTAAAATCGTATACCATATGTACATAAAAAAAAAACGAAATAAAAAAAACCGAATATTTTACTGTAAAGCAAGTATATCTTGCACATGAGTTTTCATAATTCCCATTAAGAATGTAATATAAACGAAAAAAAAAAGATAATACTGATAAAATGTTTAAAATTTAGAATATTTAAATAAAAATATTATTATATTATCTTAAATGTTAAAAAGGACACAATTCAAAAATAGTTAACCGAAACTGGTTATTGAGCAGACAACATTTTAGTACATTATTCTCAATTTAAAAAGTTTATAAAATGTATACGTTATTCAAAATTTGGTATCAAAAGTTGGGGTGGGGGGGGGGGTAAAAATATAAAAGTTCTGAAAATTTGAGATCACATTGTACAACAACAATATGAAAAATAAAAATGTAATTCCTATTGAATACTATGAATTATAACAAGTGGCACATGATAAAAAAATAACCACTCTGTATAATCATCATTAATCGCAAGGAGATTGTACATGCACAAATAATCACTACCTGGTAGTCTGCTGGCTTAAGCATGTTTCATGTTTTATAATTTTAACCGTTAGGCTTTAAGTAGACTGTAACTTTTCCTTTAATCTAATTTATGCGTAAAGACAAATACATTTACGTTATAGCGAATAAAATATTGCTAAATCAAATTTTTATTTGCTTTTGAAAGACATAACGAATTACTATCTGTTAATGTACAATATGATCGGTATATCTAATTTCTCAGCAGTCAAACTTTGATGGGGAAAACCATCTTATAAGGACTTGTTAATTTTGTTAGAAACTCTTTTGGCTCAACACCCCAACACTCTTATATTGTAATTTTTGTTACATTAACAATCAATCGGCTATAGCCCCTCCCCTCAATCACGTGTTTAATCTTGACGCAGGTCTCAGAAAGCTTTTTTAACCGTTTTGACATGACCTGAATTCACCTAGACACCTGATTTTACTCATTATTGGCCGGTAATGATTATACAGATAGTATCATAATTTTGTTTTCGATATTGCACAAGTATCGGAGTATTGGTTTTTTCTAATAAAATCTATATTAATTTAATTATACAATAATATTTTAAGTATAAAACAATATAATACCTAAGAATTGATAAATGGTATTATGCGACTTGCAAAACTTGAATTTACTCAAAAACACAACAGTTGGTCGGTAATGTTTACAGATCGAACAATAACATGTTGTTTTCATCATCGTAAAATGGTGTTATATATTTTAAACTCTTATTCCGTTTAAAAATTTAAAAATAAGGAATGGGTCTTGGTCGACTATCCCCGTTCTTTTCTTAAACGGTTTTATATAATTAAAATATATTCTCTGGTTAACGGTATTGTAAAAAAAGGAATATTATTTTTTAAATTTTTTATTCCAAAAATTATCTGAACTGGATACTATGTAAAATCAATGTGCACATATTTTTCAGTTAAAAAAAAATATAACACCAATGTACGATATTGAAAACAACATAATACGGTTCGATCTGTAAACATTACCGACCAACTGTTGTGTACCTACATGAGTAAAATCATGTTTTTAAAAACGCATTACAACATTTCTAAAATCTAAGGTATTATTGTTTTATATAAGATATTAAAATTATATTATACAAAATTAATATAGATTTTATTAGGAAAACACAATTACCTACTCCATACAATACTATATCTAAAGCAAAATTAAGATTCGATCTAAAATTTAGAATAATGTACTAAAAATGTTAACTGGTTGATAACCAGTTTTGGACAACTATTTTCAAGTTATAAGAGTTTAATACTTAGGATGGGATCCCCTCTTACTTCTCCAGTGTGGTTGGGAAATGCGCGCAGATAAAAATAATACTACACTCCCCGCCTTTCTTCCTTCCCTAAGCTTGAAACTTCAATAACTTCAAAAATAGTTAACCGAAAGTAAATAAATTGTATACATTATTCAAAATTTCATATAATATTGTTTGTTTTGGTATAACTTATGGCGATAATTTGATCGCTAATTAGTTAATATCATTTTAAGTACATAAGTTACTTAACATTAAGTATTGTGTTATATAAGAAGATTGTAATAATTTCACTATCAAAAATTTAGGTTTACCCTATTTGTTAAAAAAAAAAAAAACGCTAATCGTTTAATATATCATTTTGGTTTAACGCAAAAAAAATAAAAGGGCACAATTGTAGTTGAGGTTAGGTTAGTTGTGGTAGTGAAGTAGGTATATGTTCTCCAACGATTTATTGTGTTGTTTTTTTCACCGATTCAGATCATAGCATCGCAATGTTTGCTCTAACTTTGCTTAGTAAAAACGAATAACAAAATATGACCTAGATATCTTACGTGTCACCTGTGTACACGGGAAATCATGAAATACTATTACAAAAAATACTACTTTATTAAATTCTCAAAATGATAACAACAACATGCAACAATATTACATTTTTTAAAATAATCTTAAAATTTTAAAGATATATTTTAATGTTACACAATAGCATTAACATTTAAAATGATAATAAAATATATACGTTATTTAAAATTCAAAAGTTGCTATCGAAAAAACTAAGTTGGGAGGGTGGTAAAAATAAAAAAGTTCTGAAAAGTTGAGATCACATTGTATAACAACAATATTAAACAAAATATTTAATTCCTATTAAATTTTATGAGATATTATGTGGCCCATGATAAAAATAAATCTTCCGGTATAATCTTCATAAATGGCAAGAAGATTGTTGAACAGAAATAATTACTACTTAGGAGCCAGCAGGCTAAAGCATGTGCAATGTTTTAGAATTTTAGCCGTTAGGCTTTAAGTAGATAAAAACTTATTATTTAATCTAATTTATGCGTAAAGACAAGTAAATGTACGTTACAGCAAATAAAATATGACCATTCATACAATAGTATAATACATTCATATAATTCGATTTTTTAATATTATTTACAACGTCTAATAAAAGCGTTATTCAATTTAGTTAGGTGTTAAATACTTAAATTATTTGAATACAAACACAAATTTAGCACAATATG